CCCTTAGCTCTTCTTTGAGTACCTTAACAACTAAGAAAAAAAGTCATCATAGGTAATTGTGAATTGTTGTGAGGACTTTCCAAGTAGAAATTTTAAATTATTAGCTTGTTCTTCTTTAGACAGAAGATGGCATTTTTTCATATTTTTATTAACATTTATGATTTTAAATAAAGTGGATCTTCGCTGGAACGATCTACTGTATTACTAAAATAAACATCCCATTTATCAGTCGTTTATGTGATAATTTAACAGATTTTTGTATTTTTCAATATAGTTATTGACATCTGATTTGCAAGTAAATAGGCTGCCTCAGTATTTTATACAAGCTAAGATATAATTTCCCTTAAACGCCTAATGTAAAGCTTACAGTTATTTTTTTGCTAACCCACTCTGTCTCAGTTGTTTCTGTCTTTGGTCTTTAATATTTTTGAATTTTTTAACAATGAGACACATTTCCTGAAATATTTCTGGTACTACCAGGGGCATGGCGGGGATCAAATTTGAAACCTCTTGCTAATGAAGCAAGCGCTCTATCACTACACCACTACCACAATTTGTAGTGAAGTAAATCAAAATCAAATTTTTACACTAGATAAGACTTGTTTTTGTTTAAACACAAGTTTTATTCATTTTAATTCAAAGTTATCCAATCAAAATTAAAATTTTAACATAAATTTTTTATGTTAAATTTTTTTAATTTTGATTTTAAATTTTTTTGCATAATTTTTTTAACATTTTTTTAAACATTTTTAAAATATTAAAAATAGAAGTAGAAAGTCAACCACAAAAAATAGCTAAAACTGAATTGAACTTTTCTAAAAAAATTAAGAATAACTGGTTAAACAAAAAAAAAAAAAAAAAAATTTTGGACCTTCTCACCCCCCCCCCCCATACTTTAGAGTATCCATTTGATGAATCTCTCATATAAGTTTCTCTTCATCCATTAGGCGATTCAACTTCTTCACTTGACTATTAGATTCTATGAGTTATAGGAACGAAAACTTGTTATTCAAATTTTCTGCAGCTAATAAAAAGCTTACTTATATGTTGAACCAGAGTCTTGAGAGTGGTACGTTCACCTCAAGTGCTTTTCATTTTTATGAAAATGAACCTCAATCTTGACTTTTTTTGTGAAAAGACTTTCTCTCCTGTCCTCTTTTGAACCGAAGTCTGATTGAAAACTATAACTTGCTCGACAAGAGGCAATCAAATGTTCTTCATTAATGAATTTGGGCCAAGAAGATCTGAGTCTGATGAGATCCTCAATGTAAATCTTTATAACCTTTATCTCATCATCTAAGGAAATGTTCTGTGACTGATGTGAGACACTGATATAGTTTGTTGCTTGAAGAGCTTTGAATCAAAAGGTTGTCATGACAATCAATTCAAATGACTGAATCCATTTTTCCAGAGATTTTCATAGATCAGCAGTTAGATTAAGTCACAAAGCTTCTGCAAAGTTGCAAAGAATGCGCTGAAAAGATTTCTAGTTTTTAAGTTTTTAAATATAATTAAAATGTCAAAATAGAAGTTCAACCACAAAAAATATCAAAAACTGAATTGTTTTGTGAACTTTTCTAAAAAAATTTGTTAAGAATAACTGGTTAAACAAAAAAAAAAATCAAGTTTTGGACCTCCCCATCTTTCTATAAGTAGGCCAAAAAAGTTTAAATACTTAAGAAATTTTTTTTAGTTAATAGATTGCCTTTAGTTGATAGCAGCACTCGTTGCTTTTTTTATCTACTTATCAGTGGATGTATGTAAACAGTAAAAAATAAAAAGATAAAAATAGAATGTTTTTCAACCGTGACTATCGGCATTAAAGTATTTACAAACAGATAGAGACCTCAGTTTAAAAAAATTGCCAAAAAAAATTCAATTAAATAATATTTGCTAATTTCTTTTTTATATGGTTATGTAATCATTTATGGCTTATTTTGATGTTTTATTTGATGTTTTTTTGTAATTTTTGTAACAGGTTTTTTTGTATTACGTTTTATGTCTGATGACAATCTAGACCGATGACAGGTTGAAATATTACAAAAAAAAATTTAGTATGCAGCTGTTGTTTTATGCTTTATACTGTATATATATATATATATATATATATATATATATATATATATATATATATATATATATATATATATATATATATGTATATATATATATATATATATATATATATATATATATATATATATATATATATATATATATATATATATATGTAGCAATCAACAATAACATAAAACAAATATATTATTCAAAAACAGGATATAAAAGTAATAATAATAATAACAATAGTAACAATAACAATAATTATAATAATAATGATTAAAATAAATCTATTAACACTATGATTATAAAACATCAACAAAAGCGTAACAAACAAAAACATAGCACACAAAAACAAAAACAAAATGTACAAAAAATTCATTATGTATGGAAAATATTGAAATGAAAGAAGAAAAAAAGATACAATAAACACTTAAATAACTTAAATATTGATAAACTAAATAAAATAAATATTTGGTTTCCAAAAAAGATAAGAAGTAAAAGTTAATCCTAGAAGATGAAGAATAGATGAATCATCAATTACATTATGGTTCATAAATATATTAAGATATAGACTGTTGCAATAACGATTAGCTAAAAAAAAAGTTGAGTTTTATCTGAGTTAAAGTTCACCAGCCACTGAAAGCCCTATGCTTCACCAGAAGTGAGATTATTTTCAAGCTCAAATGCCTCCTCTAAACAATCAGAAAATATTGGCTTCTTATAAAAACAAGAATAACAAGTAGTAACCAGACTTCTATTTTCTGAAGAATTGCTATGCTGATTGATATGAAAGTAATGGTTACGATTGGGAATTTCAGCAGCACAATGAGAGAAAAAACATGGAGAAGAGTGAAGCTTGATTTAGAATTGTCAAGAAGGAACAAATGTTTTCATGCCAGCCTGAATCCAAGAAGTGACATAAGAAGATAACAAAACGATAAAAGATTTCTACCATAGTGCCATCACGAAGAAAATCACGGAAAGAGTCGCATTCAGCTTTAAGGTATAAGAAATTTCGTCTGTCAATCGTTATCTTGCTCTACAATCTTCATCTTTTCTCTTCCAGTAACTTCCAACACTAATTAGTGGTTGCTTGCAGCCTTGTTGGAAGCGAAGATAATTAATAAAAAAAATAAATAAAAAGAGGTACAATTGTAGGGTTATTCTGATGATGAAAAAGAATGAGATAATAGTTTTAGAGAGATATGGTATTATTTATTCCATGCGTGTTTAATTCATAACAGTTTTTTGTATATGACATCATTGTATAAATTTTCTTTCAAGATATTGTATTCTTTTCTTTCCACAATCACCAAATCATGTTAATTGTATAACTTTTTACTAAATCCCCCCAAAAAGTTTGTGATACAATAAAAAATTAAATTTATAAAATTTATAAAAATCAAAATTTAATATATAGCGAATATTTGCAGTAAAACGTACTGGTTTAAGCTAAATATAAACTAGATACTAAAAGAATAATTTTACTAAAGTGTATAAATTAATTTAAAGTATAAACTGAATAAAAAGTGACTTGAATGAAACATATAAACTGAACTAAGTAGAAAATAAATATTAAACAAATTATTTCACTAATAACCGTACAAATCAAATTAAATTAAAGTTAAAAGTTATTTTCATGCAGCTTTTGTGTTTCTTTTTTTTTTTTGAATGATATTATACCAGTTTCGTGTGATGATTAATTTGGAAACATTTACCCTAAAATAATTTGATAAATTTTCATTTGTCATTTGTCAACTTTAATTTTTATATCAATAGTTAACAATAATTATGTAGTAAACTATAGGCATTATTTAAATCAATAGTTACTTAATACTTCTGCAAGTAATGTGTAGTATACCACCCATAAGCCACAGTTTTCTAAGAGCAAAAACAAGACATTTGGGTTGACATGTTTTATTATTACATAGCAGCTTGTGATTTATATCTAGAGGGCAGGAAATAATTTTTTTTTTTTTTTTTTTTATTTAGTAATCTGCAGCAGTGATAAAAATATCTTGAAATGTTGTCTTTTGTAGGCAAAGTTTTGCAATTAATTTCGTGGGTTTGTCCTAATAAAAATATTTCAGTATTTGAACATGTTGATATTGCTATTTTAAATTTAAAAAGTTACAAACGCAGTGCAGTTTCATAAAATTTATTATTGCGCACTGTGATTATAACTCTGCATAGGTCCGGCAGTGCAAATTAAAAAAAAAAAAAAGTTCCCTTAAAATGTACTAAATTCTTTTTTCTCTTTTTTATTGCATATTCAAACTCCTAGGGAGGTCAGAAAATTAAAAATTTTTCAAAAATTTTTTCAGGAAGAGTCTTGTATGACAACATAGAATGGGAAAATAAAATTTATATAAAATATTTATGTCGTAAAAACTGATATCACAGTTTTGGAAGGAGAGGGATATATGTGATTGTTTGTGAAAAGCGGGAATGGTTTAAAAATTGACAAGTATCATGAAACGTGTTTTATGGATGACCCCCCAAACAAACAAAATTTTTACTTTGACAAAAATAAAAAAGGTTCAAATTGATTTTTTTAATATTAGGAGAATGGCAAATAAATCTTTTTATTTTTATTTTTTAAATATAAATATTTATATAATTCTTGATTTTATTTATATTTATATGTCAACCAAAATAAGAATACATAAACAAATAAAAAAATAATAATATAAATAATTTTAATTAATATTAAAAAAAAAAAGATAAGAAATTTTTTTTTTTAATTCTCCTAATATAAAAAGTTTCAGTTTTGAACCTTGTCAACAAAATCAAACCAACGCGATGAAATAAGAATTATTAAAAATGAATTACGTAATGACATAATTCATTTTGTAAACAAAAACTTAGCAAAAAAAAACCAGAACTTTAGTAAATGCATGTAATTTAAACTAAGCATCGTTATTTAAAACTTTAAATGTAAAAACGTAAAATTTGATATTCTTTTTTTAATTTAGTTTTTAACTAAATTAAAAAAAAAAAAACTTTATCAAGTTTTTGTTAACTTACATTATATGAAAATTGCAAAAGTTTTTTTGTATCTTTCATATTTTTCGTATCTTGAAATTTACATTTTATAAAGTATAAAACTGACCAACAACAATTTGAACATGTTAGCTCTATTTTCATGCTTAATTAATTAAATTAATTCTGATTATGCAAACAAATTCATGGTTAAATAACATTTTACAACGATGAACTTTTTTTATCATGCGACAATAAAAAAAAAAATGTAACTTTTGGAAGCATAAAAATGACTTTAATTAGTTTTAGTACTAAAGGTATAATTCAAATTAACTTTCATATGTCTACATCAATATTCATTTGCTAAAAGTTGACGAAAAAGAGAATAAAATTTGACTATTTTATCCGCCTTGAAATTGCCCTTTTATATATATGTATATATATATATATATATATATATATATATATATATATATATATATATACATATATATATATATATATATATATATATATATATATATATATATATATATATATATATATATGTATATATATATATATATATATATATATGTATATATATATATATATATATATATATATATATATATATATATATATATATATACATATATACATATATATATATATATATATATGAATATATATATATATATATATATATATATATATATATATATATATATATATATATGTATATATATATATATATATATATATATATATATATATATATATATATATATATATATATATATATCCATAATTAAGAACTTTAATATTGCTATAGTGCATTTTTTTAATATAATATACATTGTTTTTAATAATCATTGGTACTATTTTTCTTATATCATTGATTGTGACATTTTATTTGTTGATTTTAAGCATTTTTCGTTATGAAAAATAGAATGTCACAGTTTAGACCATCATGACAAAAAAAACCTATAAATACTTGTAAAACTTCAAGTAAAAAGTATGGAACTCAGCATATAATAACATCAGTATGTGCTAAATACATATACCAAATGATTTTTTTTTTTTACCATGTTCGCTGCATTAAGTCTGACAATATTGTTTTGTTCAGAAGTGGTAAAAAGTAAGTGTTACGACTGTCATGCTATGTAGAGTTAATTTTTGAAAAAGTTGAAGACTTTAATGCTTTAACTTTTATATACTAAATTATATGATAGTATTTCATATTTCTGCAAAGTTTCAATTCATTTCTATTTTTGGTTTATTTTTAATAGCCTAAAGAGTGTCAAATGTTACGACCACTACTCTCGTGGAATTGCCCATATATATATATATATATATATATATATATATAATATATATATATATATACATATATATATGTTTGTGTGTTAGTGTGTATATATAATAAAATAATTTTAATACACCACAGTTGCCATGAATAAAATGTTAAAAAAATCTATCTTTAGATTTTAGTCAAAAAGATTTACAAAAGCAACAAGAAAGTTATTTGCAAGCAACCAATAAAATGAAGTGAACATTTTTAAAGTTATTTAGCTTTTCTGTACTGTGCTAATTATCTATTTATTTTTGTTGCAATTAATTCTTAATCTTAAAATTTTTTAAATTATTTTGAAGTTTAAAAAAGAGAAATCAAGTCAGAAAAGTTTTTTTATAAGATTTGTTTTATCTCTTTTATATGAGATTTTAATATGATATTATTTTCTAATAAGTACTAAAATTGAAATGATTATTAGACTCACCATTATTTATTAGATCTTGTTTTAATGAGGAGCAAAAGAGGCTATCAGAAAAATACACAGAAGAACACAAGATGCATAAAGAATTAAAAAAGAAGTTTGAAAAAATCTATAAAGTTTCAAAAAAAGTATGTTTAAATTATTCAAAAAAAATGAATTATATCTTATTGATTTTATGGAATATTCCATATTTTTTATCAAAAATAGTATTATGATACAAAAAAAAAAACATTTAGCTGCAAAAAAAAACATTTGAATATTTTTTTTTGCAGCTAAATGTTTTTTTTTAGTATCATAATACTATTTTTGATAAAAAAAATAAGTTGACTCTACAACCCTGTTTTGAAACAAGAATTTTATTTTTTGCCCTGTTTCTAAATTTTTTGTTCTTAACACCATAAGCTAAATTAAAACATCCTAAAAAGGAAAATATAGTTTTGTAAATAAGTACCTTTTTTTTTTAATTAATAAATTATTAATTTTGAGAAATATTAAAAAAGAACAAAACAGCAACAACAACAAACATTTATACATATATCTTTTATTTCTTTTCATTAAAAGTCATATTCATAAAAGTTATTGTCTATACAAGTGTAGATATAAAAAGTGATATGCTTAAATTTTTAATTTTACATTGTATTAAATTGTAAATTTTAATTTTAAATAGTTTCTGTCATAGATTGCAGACTATACACACAAACATACATACATACATGCATCCATCCATCCATCCATCCATACATACATACATGCATACTTACATACATACATACATACATACATACATTCATATATATATTAGCCAATCCCATATTTTTTTTTCAACAACTAATTTTTATGCGGAGTAGCTAATGAGTTGCGTAGAGGTCATATTTATATGAAAATTTTTTTTATTTTTCATTTTTTCTTGATAGAAATATTCGCGCCAATTGTTCGAAATTACGTATTGTGATTTTTGACTAAATTTAGGGCAATTTTCAAGCATTGGTGTAAGTAGATTCTGATATCAAATCCAGTTAATTTGTTTAACGATGTTTTCTTTATGTGTATACCAAAAAAAAACACTGTGCTTATTAATTTAAGAAATATGTTGTGCCTATCTCACAGTAATTATGGTAAATAAATTAACACTTTGGCTACTATGAAGTGATTTTTTGTTAATCTCTAGGCTTTTTTCCAGTCATACAACAAACTTTATATTTTTTGTCTCATTTTGTTATCAAATGATGTTTTTTTTTTCTAAATACTGTTACTGGAGCCTTGGATCCAACAAATTCAAATCCAAAATGGTTTCCTTGAAAGATTGGGTAATGGATTTTAAATCTTTTGTTGTAAACTAAACTAGATTAAAAAGTATTAATCTGATTCAAAAATATTTATACACATTTTCTGTGGTTAATTTAGGTGCTCCAAGAAGACCTAATGGTTGCATCACAGAGCACCACAGAGGAGCATTTAACTTGGAGGTTTACACTTCCTTCATGTCGAGAAAAAGCCTAGAGTAGGCATCAATCCACAGATCAGTGAAGCCCCCCCTTAATTTGAGGGGATTACAAAAAACGCTTAGAGATTGTAAATCAATACTTAGAATTTATCGATAAATATAAATTTAGTTAAGAATTGGAAAAAAATTATTTCATCAACTTGTCGCTTTCATGTTTGGTGCAGGGAAATAAAATTTTAGGCCTTTTTTTGTTCCCAGCCTCTTATCATTGCAACTTTTTAAAAAGCACCATTATTTGACGTTAGTATAAACTAGGGTTTCTTATTTCTTGTAAGTTTAGCACCCCATGATTCCCGGTGTGTAACTTATTTATCCCGGGATTTCCCATCATAATTTTTAATATAATAACAAGCGGTTTCTGACACAAATTCATTTTAGCACGCTAATCTATATTACTATTTAAAATAAAATATTGTTTTAAAAAACATAAGCAATCAATTGATTTGTCACTTAATCATGAACAAATTTTTCCCATAAATAGACCCGTGACAGAAAATGCTTTTTCTGATTTAATTGATGTTGGCTTGATGGTCATTAATGTTGAGTATATATTTTCTAAACTTTTGCTATGCTTTCCAGTTGCCTCAAAAAATTTGATTTCTTTTGTGAGGTTTTTTAAATTGCTAATATTTTCTAGAGCTGCTTTTTCTACTTGTTTGACATTACAAATAGTCGCATCCAATTTTTGTTCAAGTGTCAAAATACTTTTGTCTAATAAATTTGAAGCAACAGGTTGAGGTATTGACGGGTCAGAAACCATGCTTTTATTATCACAACTCACTTCAACTATTTCATTATTTGATAAACTAGTACTAGCATCCTCTATGACAACCTGGTTTAAATTTTTTTTACTGTTGCTTCTAATGCATGTTTGGACGGTAAGAGTAGTTTAGAGTTGATTCCTGATTATAACTAATTGGGTTGTTTAAAAATTTTAGTAGTCCAATTAAATTGGCATTTCTGCGTTCTTCAATTCTCTGCTGCACAGATTGAAGCAGTTTATTAGCTATAAAATTTTTTACTCTGCCAAATTGTCTAAGATGAATATCATTACACCTTTAGGGTCAAATAGAGTAGCATTACTTCTACCAAGTCTTTCTATTCCAACTTTTATCGGTTGCAGAGAAATTGTTATGTTGTTCATAATCGCATATTCATCTTTAAAGATATTCAGAACTTCTTCTCAATCATTCCTTTCTTTTAGTATACATGTTTTTACTTTAAGGATTCTTTCTAGCATTGCAACAAGACTATTCCGCCTTGTTTTGACATCAAATATCAGCTTAAGTTCTTTATGAAACATAGATTTTATATACATTTGAAAAACTTCATTTTTAAGTGGTGATTTGCGGAACATTCAAACCACTTTATAACCCTTTTGAATTGTTAAGGCTATATTTACGCTATTTTGTAAATCATTAATAAATGTAACGCCTGTTGAGCTGTATGATTCATCATTACAGTCAAGTAGATTATCAAACTCATTGTAATCACTCAAATTTTCATTGGAATCTTGTAACTGCTATTCAGTTTCAAATTCAATATATTTTCAAATTCAATATATTTCAAATTCAATATATTTTGCTGGAGTCTGACTTTTTGTAAAGAACATCACATACTGTCAAATGAAATCCGTGGACATATTACAGCTGATGTTCAATACCACTTAGCTGTCCAAATTTTTTCATTACAGATGCTTCATGTCTGTCAGTGACACTAGCTATAATGTGCTTTTTAATTGATAAACTGAAATCTGACAGTTTATTTTCAACTAGATCAACACTTTTTTCTGCAGGAAGTGATTCAGCTATCGAAGTCATTCCCAGGTTTCAAAATTTTGTTGACAAGTGTAAATATACATTTAAATAACGTTGATTTTTAAAGACGTTTATTTGTCTAACAATAAAGAAAATCCCAAACCGCTAGATATTTCTTTTATTATCTTTAAAACCACAGTTTGTTTAGCTAAATCATATTGTTTTTTTATCATATTTTTCTTTACAAAAATACTGTCATGCTTTTGATCCGTTTACAATTGACATGGTTAACTTAATTGAATCGTAAAACAACTAAAAGTAAAGTTACAAGTATTTCTTACATAAGTATGTTATCTTACCTATGACTTTAAACATATGTATGACTTATATATGACTTTAAATGTCTTTGTTTGTCATTTTTTAAATACAAAAATTATTAAATATTTTAATAATTCAATACAGAAAAAGTTTAACTTTTCAATAATTTAGAAGTTTAAAAATCAAACTTACTATTTTCGTTGCAAGAAATCTTTTATTATTTACTCATATTTTATAATAACAAGAATATAAGAAAACATTGCTTTGCAAGGCATTCTTAGATAGTTGAGTTAGATAGTTAGATAGTTCAAGATACTTTCAATAACATTTCTTGTTGCGCTAGGTTTTAATATAAGGTATGAACACATAAAATACAACTAAATGCAATAATATTTTTCTTATTTTTGGATGAATTAATTCAAACAGTTATATGTTAAATAAAAAAAAAAAAATTAAATTAATCCGGGATATAAGAGTGATATCCAATAATGTCCAATAAATATTGATATAAATATAAAATCTCAGCTTAAGGCAAATATCTCAAGAAAATATGTCAAAAAATAATTTTTAAATACACTTCTAGGGTTCAAAGTTTGCAGATAGATATCGGATCAAAGTTCAGGAAAGCGAGGAAACAGTCGCTGTAGCTAGCTCCTTGAATCTACTCTTCTTTTTTTAATGTTTTTATTACAAGAACTCTTTGTTTGAAGTAGCTTCTGAAGCTTCTCCAAGCTCATCACATGCTCTACATTATCTTGAATAAATTTTACTATAAGCACAACAAAATTGAAGTTTTTGTTACGAAATATTTTTATTAAGACAAGAAATACGTTATTGTTTAAAAAAAATAAATATCCTACCCTGCATTTTATTTTTGAAATGTGTGATTTCTTATGAATTGTTAGCAATTTTGAAAGATTTTAAAAATTTTGGAATTGATTGTACCCAAAAAGTCTGAGGGAGTCTCATCCGTAGTCATTTTTTCAAACTATAAATTAGAATATCAAAAATTAACCACTAGTCTGGTGAAATATACATCTCAAGACCTAGTGGCTAGTCTTTATTAAGAAAAACTGTTTTCAGAAGATTTCAACTTTGATTCTGTCTGTTTTTATATCTTTTCAGACCTCCCTTTGTTTTTGAATACAGAACTTTTTACCATTTTATATTGTGCTCTTGGTCAAAAGATGCTAACGCCAACACTAAACACCTTTAGGGTTTTACCATGATTTGAATTTCACCTCTGCAGTAGGCTCAATATACATTTGCCAATAGTCTTGTTAATCTTAAAAGTGTATATTAAAAAAAATGCAATGTAGATAAAATAAAGTTTAAAATAGGGCCCTGCGAATCAACTTTTTTAGTTTCAAATTGAATCATGATTCAAAGCAGGCCTTGATTCACAAATCAAATTAAATCACGAGTCCAGCAGGCATTTTGAGGAAATCTAAGTTTAATTAAAACATAGATATCCTCAAAATGTTGATTTGATTCGAGATTCAATGATTCGCAGGGCCCTAGTTTAAAATGCCATTGCTAAATATTTATTACATTCGATTTTGACAAGATAAAATCAAAGTGCTATTTCTACTGATTTCATTTTTATATTTCTTCTGATTTCATTTTTATATTTCTACTGATTTTAAGAAAAGTCTGTCATTAGAAAAAAAAATTGGTTTAGAGTTATTTTCTTTGTATTTTACATTTGATTTCAGACCATTGTTTTTAAACAATTTGTTACTTTATGACAAATTATTCTTAACTAATAAGATTAAAATATTAAAACTTATGAAATTAAGTTTTACTTTAAAAATTGCAGAATTAATAATAAGTCGCAGGTCAAAAACCACAATTCCCTGAAAAAAGAAATTTTGAGTATTTTATTACTCAGAATAAAACCTGATTTTAGAGAAATGCAACTTGAACTTCATGAAATTCAAGGCGTGTGAAACAGCTCCATTTTTGTTAATTTTCACCTAATGGTCTGATTTTTTTTCACAATAATCTCTGCTCTTCTCATAAGTCTATATGAAAATAATTTTAAAATTAGAAACTTATTCATTTTGTTTTTGTAAAAAGATATTTTAAAGTGAAGCAGTTTTATCTTTACCTTTTATTTTTAACTTTTTATGGTTTTATGATATAAATATTTTATTCCCTAGTTTAACAGTTTAATTTATGGCTACAGCTATATGTAGCTCTCCGACATGATGGCAGGAGGTTAATAATGATAATGGCCAGCCAGGAAACTTAGCTAATCTTGTACAAACTCCTTTTAAATAACCAAGGCTTGAAGTGGGTGAACTGAATGAGATAAAAAACATTTAACAAATTTCTAATTGCTGTGTATTGGGCCTCAACGCTAACGTGTTTAAAAACCACGTTTTTTTAATTTCATAGCGAATTTGTGCATTTTTAAAATACCACCAGTTAACAAAAATAATAGTATTAAAAATGCGCACAATCGGTATAGATAAAAAACCTTCCATTATTTGTAATGACATTATTATATAGTTAATGATTTATAAATTTTTATTCACATCAGTTGTTTGAAAATGCCTGTAAAAACTTAAAAAATGTAAAAATGTTAAACTTTAAAAGAGTGGCGCGATATAAATACTTATCTAAAATTAAAAATAAAAAAATTTAAATAAGAAAACAATACCTTAGGAATATTTTACGACACTCCGTGTATTCAATTTTGTCCATAAGGGTCTAAATGGGATGGCCTAACATACATACATATATACATACATACATACATACATATATACATACATACATACATGCATACATACATGCATACATACATACATACATACATACATACATACATACATACATACATACATACATACATACATACAATTTCAAACATCTTTTAATACAAAGAAATGTCTCATAGTTACAGTTCATTATGTTCCAATATACAAATTAAATGCATATCAGATATATATATATATATATATATATATATATATATATATATATATATATATATATATATATATATATATATATATATATATATATATATATATATATATATATATCCAAAATTTAAAATTTATATATAAAATTGTTATAAATTATATGTAGTGATAAAAGTTTTTTACTTTTTGTTTTAATTTAATTGATAACTTTTACTTTAAATAATAGAGAATGAAAAAACTAAAATTGGAAAATGCTACGTTGCAAGAGCAGCTTCAAATACTTAAAACAAAGGAGGATCATTGTGAACTTGAAAAAGAAGCATTAAAGTAGGATATACCACAACTGTTGTCATAACTGTGCACAACTGTTGTTGTGCCATTGTTTTTTTTATTATTGTGTAATTGTTTTATTATTATTGTTTATGAAAATTTTATGTGTGATAACACTATGATAAAGTATTTTATTTTTTTTAATCAGAAAAAGTATGGACCTTGAGCAACAGCGAATGCGCAGAAGATTTGAAAAGGTTTATCAACTTTTTTTCATGTTATAGTCAGGGTTTATATTGTATATCTTTTTATAGAGCTGTACACTTTAGGGCTGTACAGCTTGAAATTTTTTCTCATTTTTTGAGTGGACTTGGTGCTCTTGTTACCACAAAAGCCAAAGTTCTATTTTAACATCGATTATAAACATTAGTATTCCAGTGCATGGAAGTGAATGTTTATTCATTTAGTATGTTAAAGGATTGAATATTTTCTTAATGTCATTAAAAATTTGTTGCTAAATTTTGTTCCCAGATTTGCTGATTGTCGTGTTTATTAAGGTAAGTATCTTATATTGAGACCTGTGACCTAATGCTTCAGAAAAAGTTAATTGGTTTTTTTCTGTTGGAAAATTATTCAGCTGTTAGGAAACTTTAATGTCTACTAATATTTTAGTTCTATTCTGTTGAGATATTTTCTTATAAGAAAAGAAGACAAAAAGACTAAAATTTAAATGTAAATGTCATGAATTTTTTTTATCAAATCTTTTATATTGACTGCTGTATTTGAGGACATAATATAAAGGTGATCAAAGTATATTAATAACTATATACAGTAGTGTCCAAAAATTTGCAGAAAGACTAAATAAAATTTAGAATTTTACTAATATTTCAGCACTTACTTTACTAGATCCAAAATATTATATACCAATTAAAAGATTTTCATATTTACTGTTATATTTGGAACAAATATTGGTTATTTAATTAATGTGCTTTAATTGATTCATAAACAAACTTTATTTATAAAAGATTGAGGTCAAGGGATATAAGAAATGTATAATATCTCCAGTGAAAAAGTTGGTAGCAAAAATATTGTATTAACACAGTATTGACAACACTATAGTTAAAGCAGATTTTTATTACTATACAAATTTGACAATTTTTTACAAGAAAATGCTATTAACTCAATTTAGTTAAAAATGGCCTTCCGTTTAAAAACATCCATATGTAAGACATATGTATCTCAAACACAGTCAAATCCATTCTTAAATTTTCAGATAGACTAAAGTTCTTGTTTTAAAGTTTATATTCTAATCAACTGGCAAGATATGCTAAAACTAAGTTCAACTTCTTGAGATTAGATGCCATCAGAACTGGCCGAAGGGTGGTGCAAGGGGTGCAGTCACACAAGGCCCCGCGACTCTGAAGCCCCCGCAACTCTGAAGGCCCCGCGATTTGAAAGGTCTATTGCATTTGGAATTAAAATCAGGCATAATAAAGTTAGGATATTTTTTCGACTTTTGTGAAAAACATGTATATTATTAACAAAGTAAGAATAATGTTTAAAAAACGTATGCATACAATATATGTTTATTCAACCATTTTTTGTATTTCATATACAATAAAATAAAGGAAAACCTTATACTTTTGATTAAAAAACAAGCTTTTTGGCATTCCTCTAAAAGTGTTAGCTTTTTGACATTCCTCTAAAATTTTAAAATTTATGATAAAAATGTTCTATTTTTATAATTTTTGATTACAAGTATTCTGTTTTTATAAATAAATTAAAAAATGTTCTATTTTTATAATTTACAATAAAAAAACATTCTATTTTTTAAATATTTTTTTTTATTTTATTATTTTTTCCCTTTTTCTCATTAATTTTACTCTTTTTGATTATTTTTTGTATAATAAGATATTATATATGACATTGATTTATATATGAGTTATATGCAAGATGATATTGATGTGATTGATTTATGTGATGAAATCAAATCATCGAGTTTTCCTTTCCAACTTCAGATTAACACTGCAATGTTTGTTAAAAAATAATCTATTTGAGTTATATCCATATTTCGTTACTGTGCTTAAAATTATACTAACTTTACCAATTACAGTCGCTTCAGCAGAGAGATTTTTTTCAAGATTAAAGTTAATAAAAAATTATTTGAGGTCTACCATAAGCCAAGAAAGATTTACAATTAGCAATTATGTCTATAGAATCAGAAATAGTTAAAAAACTAAATTACAATGATATTATCTCCGAATTTGCCATAAAGCACGCAAGGAGATAAATTTGTAATTCTTTGTATTGAATATATATACATTTTTCAATATAATTCTATTTTTTTGTTATTTGATTTATTAAAGAAGTTTTGATGACTGAAATGTTAGTTTTTTTATTTATAATTTTTTTAGTAACTTATAATTATTTTTTAGTGCCATTGTTCAACATGTACTAAAATATAGTGCACATTTAAATAATATGTGTATAAAGTCATATATGTGTACATATATGTACTATAATAATATTAATACCTTGCAAGGTTATCCTGCACCAGGCCCTACATTTGTTTGGGCTGGCCCTGGACGCCATTGATTATTTATGTTGACGGTCAAATATTATTCATTAAGCTTACAAATCATGCTAATTTGTTCAGAAAAATCAAAGACCCAATGCACTCAATTCCCATTGATGTTTGCATAAATTTAGTTGGCTTTATGTCTTATAGATGTGAAGTATATTGTTTTTAAAGTATCATCAGCTAGCAGTGTCACTTGTTGGTAAGGTGTTCAGGAAAATTTATAATATATCTGAGAAACAAGGCATAGTTAATTATGTGGTTATTTCAGAGGTTACTGGAATTGAAAAAGAGTGTTGTTTATCAATGAGGACTTTATTACTGTAATTTGAAAGAACTGTTTCAATTTTAAAAACTTTCTTAGATACAAATAAAAATAGATACAATATATTAAGAGAGCTTATAGAGAAGACCAGCATGCCAGAAATTTTTTGGTATGTCAAGAGCAATAAAAAAATAAAAATTTGTTTAATTAAGTGTGGCTATTAAATTCAAGAGATGGAAAGTTCCATCTTTAGGGAACAAAAAAAAACTGACCACAAGATTGACCAGAGAGAAGACACAAATCAAGGTGCAAAGGTAAGTGATTTTGGTTGCACAGAAAAAAAAGTTAACTTCATAGCTTTCTTTATAAGTATAAAATCTTTGTAATAGATGAAAGTAGACAAAAGTTTTGACTTTTATTTTTTGACTTATTCTTATTTATACAACTTTTTTTTAGTATATACTTCTATAAAACCTATTAAGTCTTCAAAGTTCAGGTTCAAGTGTTTTTATCCTTAAAATATCACAGTTTGTTCACAAAAGCTTCACAAAATGTCATCATTTAATAAAGAATCATTATATACATAGATATCTGGATCTCCTAATTTGTTTCTAAAACATGCGATTTTAGTGATAAAGCTAAAACAGCATGCAAATTTTGAGCTAGAAATGTTAGTTGTACTTGAGTCATTTTGTGTGATGAGCATTAAAGTCACAAACAACAGTAGTATTGGCAAAATGATAAATTGAGCTTGTTTAATATAATAATAAATATTATTTAATAGAGTGCAGTTTTAGATGAATTGATAAGTATAGGTCCGGGTTAATATGCGACTTTGAAATTCAAAAAAAAAATAACTACACAAATAATCTGTAGATGAAACAACTTAAAGTCTTGCAATATAAGCAAATGGATTTTTAAGTTCTAAAGTTGAAAAGTTATTTATTTATTTTTTTAATTATTATGTAAACATAATAAATAGTTTTCCATTTAAAATAATTACAACTCTCGTATTTGTAAAATATAAAAATGGCAGGGACAAGAAAAAGATAAAATAGTCTTATCGCCAGCCCTCAATAATCGTAAATAATATTGCAATCAAATCTTGTCATTAAAAATGTTGCCAAATATAAAAAAAAAAAAAAAAAAATTGAAAAAAAAATAGAGATAATAAATTCCAAAATTTTTTTTCAATAGTAAATGAACACAAAGCAAAAAATAGAAAACAATTAAACGAAAAAAAAAAAAATTCAAAAATATATATAATGTTTTCAAATATTACGATTAGAAATTCCAAATTAAGAAATATAATGAAAAAATTGTAAATTTTAAGAAAAATTTTTAGTTTTATTTAATAAGTAAATATAAAATAAAAAATTAAACTTTTTTAAAATAAAAAAATTAAATTTTTTTGAAGAACCAATTTTTTTAAATCTTTGCAATTAAAATGAAAATATACTCTACAATATTTTAAAGACCATTAATTAAAATGAAAATATACTCTACAATATTTTAAAGACCATTGATTAAAATGAAAATATACTCTACAATATTTTAAAGACCATTAATTAAATATAGCTCTAGAAGAAGTCCTTCGTGTTTTGATTGATTAAAATGAAAATATACTCTACAATATTTTAAAGACCATTAATTAAATATAGCTCTAGAAGAAGTCCTTCATGTTTTGATTGATTAAAATGAAAATATAGTCTACAATATTTTAAAGACCATTGATTAAATATAGCTCTAGAAGAAGTCCTTCATGTTTTGATTGAATAAAATGAAAATATACTCTACAATATTTTAAAGACCATTAATTAAATATAGCTCTAGAAGAAGTCCTTCATGTTTTGATTGATTAAAATGAAAATATACTCTACAATATTTTAAAGACCATTAATTAAATATAGCTCTAGAAGAAGTCCTTCATGTTTTGATTGATTAAAATGAAAATATACTCTACAATATTTTAAAGACCATTAATTAAATATAGCTCTAGAAGAAGTCCTTCATGTTTTGATTGATTAAAATGAAAATATACTCTACAATATTTTAAAGACCATTAATTAAATATAGCTCTAGAAGAAGTCCTTCATGTTTTGATTGATTAAAATGAAAATATACTCTACAATATTTTAAAGACCATTAATTAAATATAGCTCTAGAAGAAGTCCTTCATGTTTTGATTGATTAAAATGAAAATATACTCTACAATATTTTAAAGACCATTGATTAAATATAGCTCTAGAAGAAGTCCTTCATGTTTTGATTGATTAAAATGAAAATATACTCTACAATATTTTAAAGACCATTAATTAAATATAGCTCTAGAAGAAGTCCTTCATGTTTTGATTGATTAAAATGAAAATATACTCTACAATATTTTAAAGACCATTAATTAAATATAGCTCTAGAAGAAGTCCTTCATGTTTTGATTGATTAAAATGAAAATATACTCTACAATATTTTAAAGACCATTGATTAAATATAGCTCTAGAAGAAGTCCTTCATGTTTTGATTGATTAAAATGAAAATATACTCTACAATATTTTAAAGACCATTAATTAAATATAGCTCTAGAAGAAGTCCTTCATGTTTTGATTGATTAAAATGAAAATATACTCTACAATATTTTAAAGACCATTAATTAAATATAGCTCTAGAAGAAGTCCTTCATGTTTTGATTGATTAAAATGAAAATATACTCTACAATATTTTAAAGACCATTAATTAAATATAGCTCTAGAAGAAGTCCTTCATGTTTTGATTGATTAAAATGAAAATATACTCTACAATATTTTAAAGACCATTAATTAAATATAGCTCTAGAAGAAGTCCTTCATGTTTTGATTGATTAAAATGAAAATATACTCTACAATATTTTAAAGACCATTAATTAAATATAGCTCTAGAAGAAGTCCTTCATGTTTTGATTGATTAAAATGAAAATATACTCTACAATATTTTAAAGACCATTAATTAAATATAGCTCTAGAAGAAGTCCTTCATGTTTTGATTGATTAAAATGAAAATATACTCTACAATATTTTAAAGACCATTAATTAAATATAGCTCTAGAAGAAGTCCTTCATGTTTTGATTGATTAAAATGAAAATATACTCTACAATATTTTAAAGACCATTAATTAAATATAGCTCTAGAAGAAGTCCTTCATGTTTTGATTGATTAAAATGAAAATATACTCTACAATATTTTAAAGACCATTAATTAAATATAGCTCTAGAAGAAGTCCTTCATGTTTTGATTGATTAAAATGAAAATATACTCTACAATATTTTAAAGACCATTAATTAAATATAGCTCTAGAAGAAGTCCTTCATGTTTTGATTGATTAAAATGAAAATATACTCTACAATATTTTAAAGACCATTAATTAAATATAGCTCTAGAAGAAGTCCTTCATGTTTTGATTGATTAAAATGAAAATATACTCTACAATATTTTAAAGACCATTAATTAAATATAGCTCTAGAAGAAGTCCTTCATGTTTTGATTGATTAAAATGAAAATATACTCTACAATATTTTAAAGACCATTAATTAAATATAGCTCTAGAAGAAGTCCTTCATGTTTTGATTGATTAAAATGAAAATATACTCTACAATATTTTAAAGACCATTAATTAAATATAGCTCTAGAAGAAGTCCTTCATGTTTTGATTGATTAAAATGAAAATATACTCTACAATATTTTAAAGACCATTAATTAAATATAGCTCTAGAAGAAGTCCTTCATGTTTTGATTGATTAAAATGAAAATATACTCTACAATATTTTAAAGACCATTAATTAAATATAGCTCTAGAAGAAGTCCTTCATGTTTTGATTGATTAAAATGAAAATATACTCTACAATATTTTAAAGACCATTAATTAAATATAGCTCTAGAAGAAGTCCTTCATGTTTTGATTGAATAAAATGAAAATATACTCTACAATATTTTAAAGACCATTGATTAAATATAGCTCTAGAAGAAGTCCTTCATGTTTTGATTGAATAAAATGAAAATATACTCTACAATATTTTAAAGACCATTAATTAAATATAGCTCTAGAAGAAGTCCTTCATGTTTTGATTGATTAAAATGAAAATATACTCTACAATATTTTAAAGACCATTAATTAAATATAGCTCTAGAAGAAGTCCTTCATGTTTTGATTGATTAAAATGAAAATATACTCTACAATATTTTAAAGACCATTGATTAAATATAGCTCTAGAAGAAGTCCTTCATGTTTTGATTGATTAAAATGAAAATATACTCTACAATATTTTAAAGACCATTAATTAAATATAGCTCTAGAAGAAGTCCTTCATGTTTTGATTGATTAAAATGAAAATATACTCTACAATATTTTAAAGACCATTAATTAAATATAGCTCTAGAAGAAGTCCTTCATGTTTTGATTGATTAAAATGAAAATATACTCTACAATATTTTAAAGACCATTAATTAAATATAGCTCTAGAAGAAGTCCTTCATGTTTTGATTGATTAAAATGAAAATATACTCTACAATATTTTAAAGACCATTAATTAAATATAGCTCTAGAAGAAGTCCTTCATGTTTTGATTGATTAAAATGAAAATATACTCTACAATATTTTAAAGACCATTAATTAAATATAGCTCTAGAAGAAGTCCTTCATGTTTTGATTGATTAAAATGAAAATATACTCTACAATATTTTAAAGACCATTAATTAAATATAGCTCTAGAAGAAGTCCTTCATGTTTTGATTGATTAAAATGAAAATATACTCTACAATATTTTAAAGACCATTAATTAAATATAGCTCTAGAAGAAGTCCTTCATGTTTTGATTGATTAAAATGAAAATATACTCTACAATATTTTAAAGACCATTAATTAAATATAGCTCTAGAAGAAGTCCTTCATGTTTTGATTGATTAAAATGAAAATATACTCTACAATATTTTAAAGACCATTAATTAAATATAGCTCTAGAAGAAGTCCTTCATGTTTTGATTGATTAAAATGAAAATATACTCTACAATATTTTAAAGACCATTAATTAAATATAGCTCTAGAAGAAGTCCTTCATGTTTTGATTGATTAAAATTAATTCTTTTAGCTTTGATTTAAAAATATTTATGTTTGCAAGTGTTTTTGATGTTGTTTCTAATTACTATACTCTATAATTGGGGGCCTCTAGCTGTGTAGAAAACTTAGTGGTTTCAAAGTGAGTTTTAGCTTGAATATAATTAGTCTAGTAAAATATTTGTGCTGTATTTTTTTAAATAACGTTTTAAAAATATTTGGCATTGTACCACAGCGATCTATACTGCAGGCCTTGCCAACGTTCAAACTATGTATCTGACTGGGGCCTATTTTAAATTTCGCTTAAATTTAGTCGCCATTTTAGTGATATTAAAATATGGGTAAAATATGTTGCGTATATGGCTGCACTACAAATTATTTATCTGCAAAAAAGAAATCTGGTAATTTAAAACTTCCAGTATATCGATTTCCTAAAAATTAAAGTTATTCCAAATGCAAACTTAAAAGTAACTAATGACACTGTAGTTTGTGACTTTTCTACTTTGCCTGTTTTCTAATTGTCTAACTTTATTTTTTCTGCTTGACCAATTTCTGTTTTGTTGTGAATTTTTTCCTCTAGGTCATGAACTTTCTTTTCTTGAATATCTTGGGAAAAGTTAAGACTCTCTTCTATATCTCTTTGAGCACATTCAAATTTTTTTAAATCATTCGTTGACATTTTCAAGCTCTACTTTTCTTGATTAGTTTTCATTAAACAGAGTTTTATAGAATTCTTTTATTGATAATATATCCACATTCAAGCCATCAATTCTGTCATTAGATAATTTTAAGTTTCCGCTGATAAGTTTAAGAATGTCATTTTGCTGTTTTTGAAACATTTCTTTGATTTTTCTTGAACAATACTTATTGAAATTTCTTTATTGTCATCATTGCAAGATTCTGTTGATAACTTTTTTAATTTATTTATGATATAAAATAAACCTTTTTAATCCAGCAAGGGAAAAAAAATTATAATAATAATAAAATAAGAAGCAAAAACATATGTATTTATATTTTTTTTAATTTAAAAAATCTTGAACGAATTTAAGTGCATATGAGTACATCTTTCAGTTTTATATATTTATTTATATATTAAAACAATATTTGTACAGGATATACATTTTCAGTTATAAAAACTCTAATCAACATGTGTCCTGTTTAAAAACTAAAACTTGAAACAGAAATTACAATTATCTGAAAAGAACAAAAATTATAAAAAGTATTTAAGTTAGTAATGTGTAGGTCAATGCTGCTTTAAAAAAGAGTGCTTGTTAAGTTTTTTTTTTTAATAATATTAGTTCTGCCATATTTCTAATGTCTAAAGGTAACTCGTTAAAAACTTTTGCTCCTTCAAAGTAAAAAGAGTTTTTTTGTCATTTTGAGTTTTATTTTTGGAAGTCTCAATATTCCTGGTACATTTTTTATTTTTAATAATTTCAAAGTGATTAGTAAAATTTTCATAAAGTTCATTATTTAAACACTTTTTTACAAATAAGCATGAAATAAGCATCAAGTCTCTTTTGATGAATTTCCTTAAGATTGTGATGACTACTAATTATATCTTTTGCTCTAATGTCAAATGAGTTTGACTTTGTGTGTTGATGCAAAATTAAGATTGATGTTAGAATTGTATGCTAATATTGGAACAATCATTTGTTGATAAATCAGGAAGGAAGATCTTTAATTTACTCAGCAATTTTAAATGACTGTTGCTTTTCTAACTATTTCTTATATTTTAACTATATATAACATATAGTTTTAATTTTTCAAGGTTGTTTATAATTTAATGTATTTGCTTGCAATTATATTAGGCCCTTATTTATGATTTAATTGTTTTATGTAAAAAAATCTATTTAATATTTTTCATTTTTGACTAGTTTCGTCAAAGACAGCATCAGTTTTCTCATGTGCTGAATTCATCAAATTTTAATATACCTGATTTTACATCATCACCTAAATTATGGAATAATTTAGCAAATTTTGTGAGTTTTTGATTCATATAATAATGTTCCAATATTGTTTTTTTTTTTTGTGTGTGTTAACATTAACTTGCTAAAATATATAAAACTCTATAAAATAAACTGTTAAACTATAATTTTCTTTAATTAATTTTCTTGAGCAATATACTATTTTATTCATGTCTGCACATGTTGCAATTTAGTTTGTTTATAATTAAAGTTTAAACTGTTAATGCCCAAATGAATTGAAAGCAAGCATTTATGTGTTTTGTTTTTGCTTTGGTTTTCTTGCTTTATTTATTTTTTCCAAATTTATTTAAAAGTAAAATAGTAAGAAATGAGTTTTGTTCTGAAAATTTTTTTTTTAAAATTTAGACTACTCCACGTAAAACAAACATTCCACAGTTAGCTGAAATTTTTGAAACAATTAGTGTTAGTAATGAGAATGGAACTTAAGTATGATGTCCATTGAGCATTTTATTGATATCATGTTTTTTTACTTGTTAACTTCTCTGTTATTTTAGTTGAAGTTTTTCTTTAACTGATCAGCTATTTATATTGTTTATGTTTAGTTATTTGAAAATTATGATTAGTATATTTTATTAGAGAATCTATTTATATATAATATTTAATATATTGTTTTATGTTGTACTCGGCAAAGCCAAGTACAACATAACAATCGCCAATTGTATATTTATTACTTTAAAGTTTTAACTGATTTTTTTTTTCTTGTTTCATAGTTTATTCAAATATTTTCATATTGTTATAATGTTTTTTGTGTAATTAAAAAAATATATTAATATTTTTAACAATTTTTTTTAGTGTATTAATATAAGTTATGCATTATGGTATGCTTTTTTAGTAAAAAATATAAAAGTTATGCGTTATTTTTTTTTATTAGTATGATTCCATGAAGTTTATGAACTGTTAAACATCACGTCTTTGCAGTACAATAAGTCAAATAAGTTTCACTATTTAAAAATGTTGTGGAATTATTTTAATTAAAATTTTATGAATTTATCGCTTAGTTAAAATCATCAGTAGTTAAAATAATTCAACAATGTCTTAAAATCATCAGCAGTTAAAATAATTCAACTTTATTAATTAAATAGCTAAAAAACATGTTTAAGCAACCATCTAAGTAGATTCCTTGTTTCTAAAATCAAAGCTTCTGATTAAAATGGGTCTTAAATAATTCACATAATATAAGTTCTTATTTAAGTATGATACTTTACTAGGTTATTTATTTATTGGTACTTGTTATAATATAAGTTCTTATTTAAGTATGATACTTTACTAGGTTATTTATTGGTACTTGTTATACTTCTTACTAAAGATGTTTTTAGTTGTCATTACTATTTTAAATTTTAATATATAAATATTGTATGGCAAACTAGAAAAATATAAACCTTGTAAAATGTATAAAACTTAGATATACAGTTTTACAAACAAAAAAATTACACATCTTGTCCCAAAACATTTTAATGCTATTAAACTTCATTTGTTAGTGATATATAATCAATCAAATTCTTGTACATTAAAGTATCAAAGGAATCAAGTAAGTAACATCTGTGGCTAATGTAGGTTAGTGATCTTCCTTCAGAATCAAGTGATCCAAGGTTCTATGCCTGCTCTTGCTATATATTACTTACTACCAAAGCAGGCAGTAAGGAACATAAATTTTCTAGTTAAAGACTTAGAGTCTTTAATTAGAAAATTTACGCTGCCAATATTTTAAAAATTTAAAAATTTGCTGTTAATTATAATAGTTTTGTTGTTTTTTTTAATTTTTTTTTTTTATTAAAAATTGCATATTTTAATATAAAAAATTTTGATTATATTTTAGCAATGCTGAATATAGTAATTACTATAGTTACTAACAAACTTAAAAAAATACTTACATACATATTTAAAAATTTTTTTAAATTGAAATAGAATTGAATCATCTGATTATTTTTTTGTTTTTATTATGTTTATAAGAGATTTATTTAAAAGTTTAGAAACTAAATGTAAAATGTCAATAGGAATTTTTCCATTAATAGCAGAACTGATCAACTGTAAAACAAACCAGGTACAAAATACTTCAACTTTTTTATTTTTGCTAAACTTATGTAATGTTCAAGAGCCAAAAAACTAGTAGTAAGACTATGTTGCATTTTAGTAATATTGTTAATATTTATTTGTGTAAAGGATTCTGTTGTTTTGTATGAGGTTCGCTGGCAAACCAATTGGATTTCAGAAGATATTTTAATTGAGCAGTTTCCTGATGGACTTTCTCTTATTCGAGATTTTCATTTAAAAAAAGAAAAGGTTTTATTTTGATACTTGCTAATACATTTAATTTAAAAAATCATTTAAATAGTTTATTTATTAAAAAATAAGTTTAAAATCTTTTAGTTTTTTTTTGATACTATTTTAGTAACTATGTTTGTGACTATGTTAGGTAAAAGCTGAACTTTCAGACGATTTTACTCCTTCAATGACATCAGCTGATAATTGTTTGTTGCTAAGTTTAAAAGACTCTGAAAAGCATACAGATAAAGCAGGTGATTTTGAAAGAGAAAAGACAACCAAGTTAAGTTGCAGTAAAAGTCTATCTAGAGAAAACAATGAATTGTGTGATGATGTTTATTTTGAATGTCAAAACTGTCACATGACATTTGCTGATAATGAGTACTTGTCACGGCATTCAACACGGTGTATTAATCATGAAAATGCTGATATTCGATGTAATATTTGTAAGCGTGGCTTCACAACTAAAGGCTCTCTAGACCTTCATGTAAAATGTGTACATTTCAAAGAAAAAGAGTTTCAGTGCAGTGTGTGCAATAAAATGTTTAGTAGGAAACACATTCTGAATATACATATGGCAACTCATGTAGACAGTAAAGACTACAAATGTACAGTCTGTAACAAATCTTTTAGTCAAAAAAGTAATCTGCATAGACATAGTAGGATCCATACATCTACAAACTATGGATACAAATGCAGATTTTGCGGACAAACATTTACTCAAAACAAACATTTGCAAAGGCATGTTACTAATAGTCATGCACACGGAGTCACATCTGATAGCACATAATATAAAATAGTAGTATATGAAAATGTTTTGTTGTCATACAAAAAATTATGCACCGTGCAATTGATTGTACTTGATATCAAATAAAAATATTTTGTTGTCATACAATAAGTTATACATGGTGCAGTTGATTGTACTTTATATATAATGTAACTATATGTAAATAAATAACTTAAAATTACACTTTTCTAATGACAATTCTTATTTGTATTGTTAATTTTTGATTTATATTTTTAAACATAAAGTTCATTCTTCACCTTTTTGTTGGTTTTTTAAACAATTTTGTCTTTACGTTTTTTCAAAACCATTTTAGTAAATATTTATTTTACATTTATATTCATGTTTTTTTAAGTAATGATACATTCTATTGTAAATTTTTTAATTGTATCTTTATTATGTGTATAGTAGATGTCAAATATAAATCAGTTTATGTAGGAAGTAATGTTTTTATCAATGTTGTTTTAAAAACTAATAGTATGAAAATTAAAAAGCAGCTGTAACAAAGCTATTTATTCAAAAAAAGTTTTAAGGTCACATTATATATTTAATGGTATTAATAGCTATGATAGTTTTGCAGTATGAATTAAAAACAGTATAATTTGATAATTAGAGTGTTTATTTGAACAAAATATAAAAGATGTTAGAGGAAGATTGGGTTAAGAAAATAGCTGATATCAATAGCTCATGTGATTATTTTGTTGATGAAAAAAAAAAAGATGAATTATTTTGTGATATACTCAAGGTATATAACTATTAACCACAAATAAAGTTTAATATTTGTAAGAGTACACAAATTCATTTTCAAAAAATATTTTTTTTATGTTGTTGTTGTTTTTTTACTCAAAGCATGTTATTTTTTTAAGGACTTATTTTCTGTCAATATCAAAGAAGATGTTAAAATACAAATGGTTTGTCTATTTGAACAACAGGTAAATAAAAATAAAATATTTATTATATTAATTACCAATGTAACACAATTTTTGTTCTTAGATTCAAAGAGTTATATTTCAATATAACAATTAACTTAGAAACTGTGGAAAAATGGTTACATTAAGCATAAACTTTAATTTATGACCACAGCACAAAGTTTGTTGTAATAAGAAAATAAGAAAAATTAAATATTCTTTTTTATTCAGTCTGGTAAAAAAACAGCAGTTGCCAAAGGCAATTATTTCTTGATGAAAGTTACAAAGTTCTTCTTGATTTTATTAAAATGAGTGTCAAGGATATGGAGTTTGAGCAACATTCTGCATTCCATTTTGGTGTAATTCTTGATGAGATTCTCAGTTAACTGCACTTTATTTTCAGCCTTGTGATTACCCACAGAGCCATAAGCAACTACAATAAAACTGTTCCAAGCTCTCTCTTTATCCTGTTTACAAGCTTAAACTGATTACATTGTATCATAGTCATAAGAAACAGGTAGTCTGGCCACTTGCGGTATTCCTTTGATCAACTCTTTGTTCACACTAGTGTCTATTCCACAGCAGAGTGCATAAAATTTGTTTTGTGTTTATTGTTTATCTTGAACTTTTTAATAAAATTTGATGTTTTTCATCCAATACTTCGAATTCCTGCTGCTAATGTTTTATTTATGGGTGCAGTACTTCTGGTAGGCTTTAGAGAGTTGCTGTATTTCCTGCTTATAACAATAACTTTCTTTAAAGGAAATTTTTTCTAGAGATCATATTGAAGATTTAAGTTTAAAAACTCAAATCAAAATAAGCATCTGTTTACCTGTGACCTTTTTCCATTACCTTCCGAAATTGATAGTTGAAAATAGTTTTAACAAAACAATTTGGATCATATCTATTTGTACTTACTGAAAAAAATTTTCTTTGGATAAATGGTCATCACCAAGTTAAAAAGTTTAAAAAGAATTAAACAAAAAGATGTCAACTGTAATTTTGCTATTTGCTGCCTTGGACAGTGTACTAAAATTAGTAGTACACCTAATCTCAATTCGCTTTACCTTTATTATTTATTCAATTATCTTTCTATCTTTCTAAATTCACTTACGTAGAATATGATAAGGTTACATTCAAAAAAAGAAAATCATTTTATTCAAAATGCTGTCAAAGTGTTGGTCCTTGTATTTGTCATCAAAATATCTAAATATCACTGACAGTTGTTTCTTGTACATTAAAGAAATATCTGTTGTTGGTGATAATATAAAAAAATAATTTATTTTAAAATTTTAAATAAGTAATACCTATAAGTTGTTTTCTATAACTTATAGGTATTGTAAAGGGCTGATGGACAAAAAAGGAGTTTAAAGGACTTTCGGATCATTAGCAGATGAATTTGAAAAATATCTATTTAATAACAAGCCTTGTTTACAGATGCAATATTATAAAAATGTTACTAGTCCATGTCTGTTGGATGAGAAATTGACTGAGGAAATTATCAACATAATTCCACCTTCTGAATATCATATTTATGAACACCATGTTAGTAGAATTATTGATCTCTTCTTCACTGATAAAAAAAAAGGAATTTCTTGAAAAGAAAACAGTTATCAGGCATGTATGGTTTAGTATGGTAAGGCAGTTGGTTTTGATAGACCTAACTGTGCCAAAGTCTTAAGATCTTTGTACCAAATGACACTTCATTCTCCAATGGAATTTTTGGAATGTATTAAAATCCTGAGGTTTAAAGAACTTCATTGCTTTTTAAATTGTTTTTAAAACTTCTTAGAACATTTTAAGTTCAATCAGTACAGGCAGAGGACTATTGACCATTCTCCATAAAATTGGGAGACACAAATTTGTTTCCTAATTTTATGAAGATTTTGAAACCAAAATATTAACTTGCTGAAAAATATTTTCAGTGAATGCTGTTTTGGGATGATATACTCGATATATCCTACAAAGAGAAAATAGACATGTTTGTGGTGTCCAGCATGGACTCCACAAACTTGTCTATTTTCTCTTTGAAAAAAAAATGTCTATGATTTCTCATTTAAAAAAATATGTCTATGATGTATTTGCAATGAAGATTTCTCTTGGATGAAATTTTCACATAATCGGGTTTCATCTCATCTCTAGTATAGATAGGCAGAAGATTCTCGATAGACAGAAGATTCTTGATAGACAGAAGATTCTCAATAGGCAGAAGATTCTTGATAGGCAGAAGATTCTCGATAGGCAGAAGATTCTCGATAGGCAGAAGTTTCTCGATAGGCAGAAGATTCTCAGTGTTCATCAGAACAAACATCTGAAGCATAAAAACTAAAACAAGACACTGAAAAGGTTTGTTGTGTCTCAAAAACATCTATCACAGTGAAAAGTTAAGAGCTATGGTTGTTGAATACAGCTCAATGAGTTTTTAAAGATATTCGTATTGAAAAGTTACAATATCTTTTTTTTAACAAATATTATTTTAAATACTATTTGTAGCATTTCACTTGTCTGAATTTGTTATTGGAGATTTATTTATATTTTGTGTTTGTCAGTAAAGACGAAAAATTTGTTGCATTCTTAATAGATTTTTGACAAGAAGATAATTATAACTAATACAGGGACGACATAGGTTTTAAAGTGGGGGGGGGGTACAATCATCAATTTGTGAAAAAAGTCCTCTATATCAAGATTTTTCTCTATCAGAAATATTTATTAAAATGATTTTTTTTTGTGCAAATAATCATGGCAATTATATCACTAGGGCAGGAATAACCTTTAAAAACCCCTACTGCATCCCTCAAATTAAGGGTAATTAATTTTTCGAAAAAATTACTTCTATATATTAAATTAAATCATAAATTGTAACTAGGTTTAAAATTTTATCAAAATATATTTTAGACACATAAAGTTTAGAACCCCCCTCATTTTTTGAAGGTTTTAGATATTTAGATAAATGGTCAAAATATGAAAAAAGATGTGGTTTTTAATTAGTTAAACAATTTCTATTTCATATTAGCCAAGAGTGGTTTAAAAAAATCTGAAGTAAAAATAACTTCAACTTAAAACCTCTAAAAAAGAGCAGTGTCTTGGAACAAAACTTTAAGGTGCACTTTTGTTTCCAGGTTTTAATCACCACATTTTGTAGATAGTTATTCTCTTAGAGTTTGTAGATACTTAGTTGTTCTCTTAGAGTTTGTAGATACTTAGCTATTCACTTAGAGTTTGTAGATACTTAGTTATTCTCTTTGAGTTTGTAAATACTTGATTATTCTCTTTGAGTTTGTAGATACTTAGTTGTTCTCTTTGAGTAGTAGATACTTAGTTATCCTCTATGAGTTCTAGTTGGCTGTTAAAAAAACTTTCTTGCATCACCATAAGCTTTAAAACCAACTAGCTGTTGTCTCTACTAGATATATAAATATATAGGGTTTATTGTAAAGTATCTAAAGACATAACGAGGTTAATTGTTAATTCATCCGTGTATATATCAGGGTAGCATTTGTCATTGATTTTTGATAAAAAAATTTTGTCCAAAAGAATATCAATTTACAATAAAAAATAATAATGCACCTACATAAAATGAAGCATCAATGTCTTTGTGGATTTTTGCATTTTTTTTGTATTTTTTTGTATTTCTGACTGCTCAATTGTTTTTAACAAATAATTAAAAAATATTACGGCCTGAGTTACCAGACTATCTATTTCTAATGATTATGATTCTGTTTAATCTACTAATAAGCAATGGTAGCATAAGGTAGGCATAAGGTATACTACTAATAAGCAATGGTAGCATAAGCACTTTCTGAGTTTCTACCAGTAGTTCCCATTTTTTGCTCTTGTCCACAGAGAACTTCATTGTGGTCAGTCCTTTCTTTGATAACAAAAGCAATTATACTTTAAGGCACTCAACAAGCCTGATCTTGACACTATTGAAGTCCTCTTTTAGATGCAGTGTGAGTCATCAGAATGAATGAATAGTTGTTTCTGTTGTGAAGCAATACTGCTTTGAGGCTCTGGGATTAACTTTCTATAAATACGTGTCATTCACTTGAGTTACATGTGATACCAATAGCCTTGAAATAGAATGGCCATATTATTGCAAAAGTATAGCCAATCTTTCTGATGAGTTCCACTCTTCGAGACTGAACATCAGAAGTTCAGTATTCGACTTTGTAAAACCTATGGTTCTGATTAAATTATTGTTGTTATTCTGGTTAAGAAATATTGTCTCCACAACTGTACCTGTAAAAGTATAATTTGCATTTCCAATATCTTTCTTGCTTTCAAGAGTTCTGCTTTCTCACAAAGATGGCAAATCTATTCAGGGAAGTGAGAACAGGTAGCTCGAATCTGTACAGAGCTGGGACAATGGAAGAAAGAATGCTTGGATAAATAATTCAAGGCACATTTATGTAACTATGCAAAATTAGTAGTTGCTTGACTGATTTTTAAGTTAAAATTTTATAATTTTTTGACTGGCACATACAACTGAAAAGCAGTTTATCAACTCACCTTCAATTGCTCTCTTACAATATTTGCAATAGAAATGCAATAGTCAGGACTTGTCTTGATCCTCAATAGGCTAGCCAAAGTATGCATCATCGGGCCCACACATTTTACAACTTAATTCCTTTCATTACTTTTATGATCTTGTCTTATTTGTGATCTTGTCTGGTTTATGATCTTGTCTTATTTATAAATGTGTGAGACTTTATGTATTATAATAATAAATTACTAATTAATAAACTTATAAAACAGACGTGGTCATAAGATTTTTTTTTTAATGAATTATGTATAATGAAATATAATTATGTTGTCTTTTAAATTTCAATTTAATTTGTTATGTTTGCAGGGCTTTGAAAGATAGTTTTTCTTATCTGAAATGAATAAAATTAGCTATTTTCTGTATACTTTAACTGAAGTAAAAAAATGAATCAATAAAAAAGGTTATATTTATAGATACAAAATTATTTTAATGTTTTATAGAAATAAAAGTTTAGCAAAAGGTTATTAGAATTTGATTTAATAATAAATTTAATTATAAAGTCTAAATTAAAATTTGATTTTTTAAACTTATTATTAAAGTTTCTGGTTGCTTTCTGGTTTTTGTTACTTTTAGAGGTTTTTATACTTCTTTTTTGTTTTGTTTTCTTTTAATTATTTTATATTAATTTATTTATAGATGGATATACTGTTGCCAGAACCTGCAAAGTAAATTTTTCTTGTATTTTGTTATTATTTATAAAGACTCAATTAAACAAATAATTTTCATCATTTAATATTTCAGAGCTGAGCATGCGTTTGGATGTTTTTATAATGTATTTTGTCAAACTGATAATACCTATGTTATTTTTAAATCACAGGTAATACTTGGCTAATAATTTTTATATATTTTTTTTTCTTTTTTAGTAACATAGTAACAAATAAATAAACTTAAATTAAATTTTTTTTAAATTTTATCATTATTTAACAACTTTAAGGAAATCAGAGATGCCCACAAGATATATTTCTGTCATTAATTGGTAGAAGGAAACGTATAACATTTTTAATATAGGAAGCATGTTACTGCATTTAAAAGTATAGCCCTTAACTTCATATGTATGCTAAATATTTAAGTTTGTTTCAATATAGATACAACATTTTAAAATCTAGCGTTACTTTATATATATGTTAAATAGTTCAAGTTAAACTGTTTTCAAATGTCCCACAATCTTACAATCTGCTTTTATTTATCTGGATGTTAGTGGTTTTACAACATGGTTCTTTCGACCATATGGCAGCAGAATTAATTAGGTTTATTTGATTATTTTTTTCATTTAGATTTTGATAACGATGACTGTGATTTGCACCAATTTTAATTTGAAAATTTTATCAACAGACAATTTCAATAAGTTTATCACACAGTTGTTTTGTATAAAAGTATGAATTTCAAATTTAAAGCATTTAGTTTTTATAAATATATGTTTATATTCATTTTTTAATACCCTATTAGTTTTGAATAATTATAAAATGTGTTTTTTTTTTTTTAAAGCCTTATCAATTTCCATATTTGGTTGTCAAGACGTCATGCGAATGCCTTCAGATAATAGAGCAATGTTATGAGGTATTATGTGTGTATACCTACATACATACATACATACATACATACATACATACATACATACATACATACATACATACATACATACATACATACATACATACATACATACAAACATACATACATACATACATACATACATACATACATACATACATACATACATACATACATACATACATATGTATGTATGTATGTACTGAGTACAAGAGCAGTCAAAATCCAATTTTAAATTTATGAAATTTAAAACTGTACTCTGTTATATCTGTTATATAATAACTAAGTTATTTTTCACACAGACTTTTTAATAAAGCTTTTGAAAAAACAAGGTTGTTATAGAGAAAATGATTTAGATAAATAATTTTATGATTTAATAAAAATATTATATAATAATAATTTTTAATTTTAAAAACATTGAAAAAAGAACGGCCATTAAAACAAAATTTGGGTTAAAAATAGTAACATAGCAATTTTATAAAATCTATGTTTGAAGACAATTCATTTAAAAAAAATTTTTATACAACAATTAAAAAAAAAAAAAGATTAATAAAAATCATTTAAATAAGTTTTATATGCTAAAACAAAATGCTATGACAAGTTTTATCATTGCATTTTATTTTAGCATAGAAATGCATGAATTCATATTATTGCATTTTATTTTAGCATAGAAATGCATGAATTCATATTATTAGTTATATTAGATATATTTTATGAATTTATTAAATTTATGATCATCTTAAATGTAACCCCATGATCCATCTTTTGTGAATCAAAAAGACAGACATCCATTGTTATATATTGTTAAGACAAATTTTTTATTTACAGGGTATAAACAACAAAAAACAGAAAATGAATACTTTATTATTACAAGCTGTTTTGGCTATGAGCATAGTGATAAAGTTTGCTTATATGGTGTCGCAGTACGATGGTTTTTGTAAGTTTTCTGTGTGGATCCAGAAATTGGGACTTGTTTCAAAACTTCAAAAATTGGTGATTTACACATGGCACTGCTCTTATTCCTATCTAGCAGGGAGTTGGTCATTTATCAAAACCTGAGCAAGGAAGTTCAAAAAATCATGTAAAGGAAGTTCAAAAAATCATGAAGTAAAGGAAGTTCAAGGAAATAAAGTAGGAAGGTAAAAAAGGAAGTTCAAGGAAGTAAAGGAAGTTCAAAAAATCATGAAGTAAAGGAAGTTCAAAAAATCATGAAGTAAAAAAATCATGAAGTAAAAAATCATGAAGTAAAATCACAATTATTTGTGAAAGATATATTGATACAGTCTTTCCACACTTTGTGAAGCAAGTTTCCATTAGTTGAATCTTACCTCTTGCAAAATCCAACAGACTTGCTTGTTCTTTGTGATAATAATATAAATTTGGTTGATCTTTGTCCTTCTTCAGATCTCAGTATTGATGGCTACTATCCTTTGATTTGCAAAGAATCCAATAGTCATGTGCTTGACATATACTTACACATCAATTCACCTATTTCTCAAGAAATTAGGTTTGAATCCTATTTCTTTTATGAAATAAAAGAAATAGGATTCAAACTATTATGTGCTATTTCTATTATGTGCTTTTGCTTAGACCCTCTTCACTCTATCATCTTTTATGTGCTTTTGCTTAGACCCTCTTCACTCTATCTATCACCTTTCTTTATTCTTCTTTACCTTTACCTTTCTTTACCTCTTCACTCTATCTATCATCTTTCTTCTATCTATCACCTTTCTTTTATGTGCTTTTGCTTAGACCCTCTTCACTCTATCATCTTCTATGTGCTTTTGCTTAGACCCTCTTCACTCTATCACCTTTCTTTTATGTGCTTTTGCTTAGACCCTCTTCACTCTATCTATCACCTTTCTTTTATGTGCTTTTGCACATAAAAGAAAAGTGATAGTTAAGGTGATAGTTAATTAATGTTCTCCCTGTCAAGATGGGATAATGCAACATAAAATTGAGCATTACATTGAGTTTATAAAAAAAAAACTGCTTCTGCACATAAAGTATAAAAAGTTAACAAACTTTAAAATTTTCTATAAACGCTTTTATCTTTAAAAAAAACAACATAAAAGATTTATCTTTTCTTGTTAAATAAATATAAATAAATTTGCATTAAACAGAAAAAAACAAAAATATGTTAAAATATTGCTAATGATTTGGGATCACTTCTGTTTTTTGCAATTTTACAGAAAATCTGTCTTGAGCCAACTAAGATTTGTAGAATAAGAACTTTGCAGTATAAAAAATCATACTTAAATAGAATTTGAAATTGTTTGTAAAAAAAAAAGGCTTTTGAATTTGTCAATTTGACTATTCATTGAATAAAGAAAAGATATTCTAAACTGAACAAACTTAACTTGGATAGTAAAGAAACATACTGAAACAAACTTGGATAGTAGATAACATACTGAAGAAACAAAGTAGATCATAAAGAAACATACTGAAACAAAGTGGATCAAAGCTAAAACAAAAGGACCACAGCAAGCTGAGAGAAAACTAAAACAAATGGAACTGAGCACAACAAGCTACAAGAGTAAAAAACACAGTATAAAGTGTAAAAAAAACCATTAAATGACACAAAATAAAACACAAAAATATTAAATTTAATTTTGATTGTTTTACAAATTAGCCTGTGTGTGTACAAAAGTATGAGCAGTTTGATGTCATGCTGAAATAGCCTGCTACTGGGGGCTTCAGTACATACAACAACTGACAAATAATCTGACTCGCAGCTGAGTGCTGCTACATCAACTGACGGTTATATATATATATATATATATATATATATATATATATATATATATATATATATATATATATATATATATATATATATATATATATATATATATATATATATATATATATATATATATAATATATATATTAATATATATATATATATATATATATATATATATATATATATATATATATATATATATATATATATATATATATATATATATATGTATATATATATATATGTATATATATATATATATATATATATATATATATATTAAATTTTAAGTTTGATTTGTAGGGTTCAACAATTGATTTTTTTGATGTTGCCTACTCATTAGCCAAAAATGAATCAAGTTTCGTGTTAAGTAGCTACATGGTAAATTTATAATTTTTGTTTTCATTATTTATTTTAAAAGTTATCCAGAATTATCATTATTTATTTTGAAAGTTGTTGGTTATAGTTACAGTTTAAAATTAAAAATTTAACTTTTTTCAAACATCAATCAGTAAAGTAGGAAAGGAAAATAGAATAATAAAATATTTAATTAACTATGAACAGTCTGTATTGTTCAATATATTTTTTAACAAGGTGTTAAAAATACTACTGCAATCCATGGAATTAGGAAAAATGAGGTTGGCAATAAATTGCCGACCTCAAACTGTTAGAGGTTGGCAAAAATAACTTGACTTAAAAGGGTGACCATAGAACATATAAATAAGGTCAGCAATTTTTTGCAGTTAGATTGGTATGGCGAATGCTTATCCCAATTCTGAGGGCTGCTACTGTAAGATAAAAGTGTAAAACTGTTAGTGAAAAATAATAATAAATTAATAATATTAAATCAATAATAATTACAAAACATTTTAATGGGTGTATAAAATTTTGTAGGTACGAAAATAACATCAGAAGTATCAGTTAACAAATAGTGTCAGAAAAACAAAAGATTCAGATAAAAAGAATGTTATGTTTTATTATAAAAAGAATGTTATGTTTTATTATGAAAAGAATGTTATGTTTTGGATTTATGTTTTAAATTCAAACGTAAAAGTTACAATAACATAATTAGATCCACGGAGCTAATGAAACAATCAAACATGGATGCCTATTGATTTGATTTTAAAAGTAAAAATAAGTTGTAGATGTCAATTATGGGTAAATAGTTGTAGATAAAAAAACATGCAGGGAAAAAAAATACTTGAAGATGTCAATTATGGGTAACCTTAATAATGTTGCCTTAAAAGACAGTCATGTTGTATTAACAAGACTTGCAAATTGCCTTAAGTTGAGTTTTTAAAATGCTAGGTATTAATGATAGTTAAAAAATGTTAGGTTACTATGTACAGCAATTAAAGTAATTTTAAAGTCCTTCAAACACATTTTTACCATTATAGAAAGAGATTACAAAGCCATTTTTTATAAAAGAAAATTATGTGGGATGCCACAACTATAAAAGTAAAAGTTTTCATATTGAAACTACTATAAAAGTAAAGATGGGATGACACTACTATAAAAGTAAAGATGGGATGCCACTACTATAAAAGTAAAAGTTTTCATAATTTTGCACTCTGCCACGCTTTTATTTATGCTATAAAGAAAAACTATAAATGTAATCATTACAACTACAATAAAAACACTTTTTATTTTGAATATAAAATTATTAGCTAAAAAAGAAATGTAAATTATTTTACACTTATTTTGATACTTTTAAATACATGTGGGGTTTACATGTTCCTGTTAGTATCTCAATTAACTTTTTTCTCTGTGCAGTGGTTCAAAGTTCATTTATGTTTTTGTGTTAAGGGGTTATAAAAGGATTTTGGTGTTATAAGAGAATTTCGGTGTTATGAAAGGGTTTACGGTTATGAGAGGATTTATGATTATGACAGGGTTTTAGTAATATGGGAGGGTTTACGGCTATGAGAGGATTTTACCTTGCGGCAGGGGTAAAAATAAGCATCGGAAATCGGCGGCCCCCAGACTGTTTTTGAGACCTGGTTTATTGGGGCAACCATTGATCATTTTTACTGAAAAAATGAACAATGGTTTAATGCCCTTCTCTAGCAGTTCTCAAGAATGGTCCAAAGGGTGACAATGTTCAACACTCATTTTGACTCCTGTTGCAGTGATTAACTAACATAAGGGTTAAACCGTGCATAAGAGGATTCGAGGTGTACACTTGCGTGTACAAAAAGGACTAATATTATTGACTTATGACACAACTTATTTTAATTATTAAAATATAAAATAAAAAATAGTTTCTCATTAAACACCAAAACAACACTAAAACAACTTAAGTATGCAAACAAAAATACTAATACATTTCCCCCTAAGATAATTAAAACCAAGTAAGTACTTTCAGCTTAAATAAACCAAAGACAATCAAATGGAAATATACTTTATTAAAAACCATTTTAAAAATAAACAAAACACAATAGAGTCTTCAATAAACTGTAATGCTGTCATATATACTTTATTTGAATTTTGTTAACCAATCTAAAGTGTAAGAAAATGAAAAACTCGTGCAACCTAAAGTTATCATAAAAATCAAATAACATAAGGTGGGGGAAAAAACATTGCACAAAAACCATTAAAAATGTTACCCTCAAAAGTGTAAAGATTTAAGCATGTAGTGAAGGACATAAGAAACTCTCTGGATAATAATAAAAGACTAGAATTGTGCTTGTGAAAATTAAAAGAAATAAAGATAGTATAGCTTAAAAATTTCCTTGATAATAGTAATAATATGCAAACCAGCAGATAAATAATTAATGCTGTAATAAGAATAGATAAATTTTAGCCAATAGGTAGTTAGTTAGGTAGTTAGTTAGTTTTAGCCAATAGGTGGTTAGTAAAAAGTTTTTTGAGTGATATTACAATTATATAAGGTGTGATATAAAAATGATGTAAGATGCGGGAAAAATTATTATTTATAAGTAAAGTTTTCTTTACATTTTCTTTAATATTGTAACCAATGTTTTAAAGTATAAAATATACACACCTCTAATTAGAGGTGTTTATTAATCTTAAGATAACTCTATTATATTTCTTCTTTTTTATTTTTTCTTTAAAAAAATTAAAGATTGCACTCAAAAAAACAAAAACAAAAAAAAAACTACAAAATTACAAATAAAATTTTACACTATATTTATGTAGGTCTGCAAGAAATATAACTGATAATATCATACTGTAAACTGATTTAGTTAGATTTAGAAACTGGATTAGTTAGATTTTTAAGATGATGTTAAAGGATGAAATAATCTTAGCTATGGGAAGTTTTAAAGAGTTAAACTTTTTTTTTAGGCTCTTCTTGGAACGATAATTGAAAATCAAAATTTGAGGTATTTTAAATTTTAAGTTTTATTTTAATGACTTTAATTGTTTAAAATACTAAAATTGGCATTTATTTTTGTAGAATTAACAACCATGAAATGAAAATAGGACCAGAAAGAGTATGTTGTTTAAAAAAAATGTTTTACTTGAATTGTTATATAATAGTAGTGTATTTGATTAAAACAAGTGTTTCATTTTTTTTTAATTTTAATTTTTTGTAAAATAGAAAATTATATTTATAATTTTCATTACATTAGTATAAATATGTATAAGGCTATTTGTTGTAATTTTATTGTATAGTAAGGGGTCGTCCATAAATTACGTACGCTCAGAGAGGAAGAGGGGGTGTACAAATGGCGTTTCTGAGATAAGGGGGCAGTAGGTCAATTATAAAAGTATGGAGACACTAATAAAAAAATACCATAAAATGTTGGATTGGAAGGTTAAACGCATAGATACTTTTAGGGAGGTAGAGAGTAATCAAAAAAGCATATGGCAGTTTGCAGGTGGGGTGGGGTGGGGTGGGGGGTAGCGGAAAAAAAGCGTACGTATTTTATGGACGACCCCTAATTGAGATATATATATGTGTGTGTGTGTGTGTGTGTGTGCGTGTGTGTGTGTGTGTGTGTGTGTGTGTGTGTGTGTGTGTGTGTGTGTGTGTGTGTGTGTGTGTGTGTGTGTGTGTGTGTGTGTAAACACACATGCATACACACACTATAAATATAAATAACTACATATATTTATGAAGACATTAGTATAAATATGTGTAAAGCTGTTTGTTGTAATTGCAATTAAAATAGTTTATTACAAATATACATATATTTATAAAGACTTGCTGCCCCAGCCCAAACCTTAAGTCTGTCCTCCATTCAGATTTCTTTGTGCTTTTGAAGTAAATTTCTGCCCAATAAAAACTGTTCATAGGCATAAAAATAAAAACTGTTCATAGGACTTGGAATTTTGTATGATTCTATGAATCACATAGTAAAAGAAGTGCTGGCCCACTACATGAACAATCACTGAAGGATAACAGCAGGATACCACTAAAAAACCAAACTGTTGACTACTATCTGTTCTTGGGAGAATCTATCAAACTGTTGGTTACTATCTGTTCTTGGGAGAATATATCAAAGGGATACAAGAATGCATAAAGCAAATTTAAAAGTAAGTTAAAAGTTTATTAAGTCAAAAAAAATTCATTTTTCCACATTTATCAATTCAAGTTGTTCAGGCGTGCAATAAATAACTAAAATAAAGAAAATACGATCTATGAATGAAGTTTTTGATATCACAAAAAAAGATAGTGAATAGCTATGCAGTGAGGACAAAAAATTGTATTATCGTCAGATTGAAAGCAGATCTGGTATATACAACACAGATCAGGTATACAACTGGGAAGGCTGCTAGTTCAAAAACTATCCATCCATAAAAAAAAGAAAAATGTCTCTGAAGTCCATGAATTTTGAGACTCTTGATATTGCCTGAGGCAATATCAAGATTCTAAAAGTTCAGAAAAACAGTCCACAAGTGCTAGCAAGAATTTCAGTAAAACCAAAACTGCAACCAAATTAGTATCATCTTCTAAGTTATCATCCACCAAAGCAACAAACCATCTGTCGATAGTTATCTCAAGTTAGGATTGACATTCAGACACCTTCACAGTTTTGTATATTTCTATCAACTGTTAAAGAAGCTGTTAAACTAAAAGAATAAATTAAAAAAAAACACTGCATTTAGAAAACTGGTCACTTTGATAGTAATATGCAGGATTCACCTTCGCGATTAGTTTTTTCTTACAAAAATACATTTTAGCAATTTGTTTGTTTTTCTATTTTTTTTGTTGTTATTTTTTTGTTATTTTTTTTATTTTCTAATTTTGTATTTTTTTTTGTGGCTATATTTAAAAAGTAATGTTTTTGTCTAAGTTTTTATATTTAGGGTTATAAAGTTAATCACGCTAAATTTATCTTTTGAATAGAAGTATGATCTTTGCGCTCTTGCACGGAGATTTTATTCAACATAAAAGCGCTTTTAAATTTAAGTTACTTTAAATCTCTGTGTGGAATTCAATATTGTTTTAAAGTTATAATTAGTTTGATTTACTGAGTGGATATAGTACATTACAGTAAATTTACCTTTAAACTAAATCAAAACAATCAGTTAAGTTACTAAAGTAACTTACAGTTACTCAACTATTAAATTTACTTAATATATTTGCAATAACTAGCCATATAAATGTGCTTATTTATATCTTATATCTTGTTAACACATAAGATAAGCTTATAGCTAAATATTATTTTAACAAGAAATCTCGAATAAAATATAACAAATGTGATACCACTTTTAAAAATTTTATTTTATGCAATATCAAGATCAAACATTCTCTATAAATACACACGATGTTTTTAGGAATTTTATTTAAAAAGAAATCTATTAGAACAAAAGAATTTTAGTTTTCTAAAATTGTTTTAAATAATTTTGTGATTGAAATTTAAAATTGAAAAAAAAATTTAAAAGAATTTTAACGCTCAATAATTGTAAATTTAAATCAGCAGAGTCCGTAATACTGAGTCATAATACCCAGTATAGCGAGAGTCTTTGCTGAAAGTTAAACGTATATCTAGCTACAGTAACAATATCAGATTTAGAACAAAGTGCAAGCGATGAAGAAAGTTTTTATCTAAATCATAAACATTTTGAATAGTTAATTATATTTTGTTTCTTGAAAATAGTTTTAAAAAGTAGAAACATTCTATCGCAAAAATTAAGCTAGTGATTGGAAAAATTAAACCAGAAAAGTTAAGCCAGTGATTGCAAAAATTAAGCCAGAAAAATTAAGCCAGTGATGGGAAAAATTGAAATTAAAGTTTATAAATTATTTTACTTCTGTTCAAAGAAATATTTTCTAAAAAAATAATTTAAGCATATTCTTAAACTTAAGGAAAAATATTTCAATTTATTAAACCAAATTTTTTTGTTTGGCTTTTTAGTTGTTTTTAGGAATTTTATTTAAAAAGAAATCTATTTGAATAAAAGAGTCTAAAATTCTCTTATTCAAATAATTTTGCAATTGAAATTTAAAATTGAAAAAAAAGAATGAAAAAATTTAAAAGAATTTTATCGCTCAATAATTATAAATTTAATTTAGCAGCATCTGTAATACCCAGTTGCCATATCCAGCATAGCAAGACTCATTGTTGAAAGTTAAACGTATATTTAACTACAGTAACAATATCAGATTTAGAACATAGTGCAAGTGAGGAAAAAAGTTTTATTTAAATCATAAACGTTTTGAATAGTTAGTTATATTTTGTTTCTTGAAAATTTTCAAAAAAAATAATTTAAGCATATTTTTAAACTTAAGAAAATATAATTCGATTTATTAAACCAAATTTTTTTGTTTCAGTTTTTATTTCAAAATAATTTGAATAAAAACATTTTCATGAAAACAAAAATTTTTAATAGTGTGCTAGATCAAGATACAGTAAATTATAAAAAGTTTTAAAGGGTAGATCTAACATTCCATCTCTCATTCATGGGACTGATCTTATTACCTCTCCCAAGGATAAGGCAGAACTATTTGCAAAGAACTTTTCTTCTAATTCCACTCTTGAATCTTATGGACATTCTCTTCCTTCCATTCCAGTGAAACAGGTTGACCCATTGTTAGACATTCAAATCACTCCGGCTTCTGTTGCTAAAGTCATATCTTAATTAAACTCGTCTACAACTTGTGGTCCAGACAACATTCCTGTCACAGTCTTGCAGAACTGTTCTCCAGAACTTTCTTCAATTCTCCATAAACTATTTAACAAGTGTTTGACTAAGTCTTGTTTTCCTGCTTGTTGGAAAATGGCATCTGTGGTTCCAATATTCAAAAACTCTGGAGAAAATTCTGACCCCTCCAATTATCGTCCGATCAGTCTTCTTTTTGTTATTAGCAAGGTCTTTGAGTCTTTGATCAACAAATTCCTCACATCTCATCTTGAGTCAAACAAACTACTGTCAGACAATCAATACGGTTTTCGATCCTCTTGCTCTACGGTCAACTTGCTAACTGCTGTAACTGAAAGATTTTATCATGCATTAGATGGAGGCGGTGAGGCTAGGGCTATTGCTCTCGACACATGCCAAAGCTTTTGACAAAGTTTGGCATGCTGGGCTTCTCCATAAGCTTGCTTCATATGGTGTTTCTGGGAAAGTTTTTGAGATTATCAAATCATTTCTTTCTAACCGGTTTATTAAAGTCATCCTTGAAGGCCAACACTCTTCTTTATTTCCAGTAACTTCTGGGGTTCCCCAAGGTTCCATCCTGGGCCCTGTTTTGTTTCTTTTCTACATAAACGATCTTCCTGACAACCTTTCATCTAAAGTAGCTCTTTTTGCTGATGACTCAACTTTATACTCCTGCCTTGACAAAAAGTCTTCTCTTTTCGATCGCCTAGAACAAGCAGCTGATCTTGAATCTGATCTCACTTCAGTAATAGATTGGGGTTCACAGTGGCTTGTGAATTTCAATTCTAAAAAAACCCAGTTGCTTACTGCAAACAACTACCGTAATATGGTCAACATTCCTATATTAATGAATGCCAATCCTCTTACTGAGTCCTCATCTTTATGTCTTCTTGGATTATCGCTTACTACTGACCTTTCATGGAAACCATATATACAATCGATTGCTAAATTAGCTTCTGCTAAGGTTGCTTCTCTTTATCGTGCTCGCCATTTCCTTACTTCTGATTCCATTCTCTACCTCTACAAATCTCTTATTCGTCCCTGTATGGAATACTGTTGTCATATTTGGGCTGGTTCTTCTAACGATTCACTTTCTCTTCTTGACAAGGTCCAAAAACGCATTGTAAATGTTGTTGGACCTGGACTATCTGCTAAGCTTGAACCTCTTTCCCATCGTCGTAAAGTTGCATCTCTTTCTCTTTTCTACAAATACTATCATGGTCACTGCTCAAAGGAGATCTCTAGTTCCATCAACTAAAATTCATTCTCGTTTTACTCGTCATTCAGCTAAGTCTCATTCATTTACTGTATTTGTCCCTGCATGCTCTAAAAACTTTTATTCATCTAGTTTTTTTCCCCGCACTTCAATCCTTTGGAACTCTATCCCATCTTCATGTTTTCCTGACTCATACAACCTTCAACTTTTCAAGTTTTCTGTCAACCGTTTCTTTGCTCTATAACTCTGTTCTTTTTTTTCCTAGTAACTCCCAACTTAATAGTGGTTGCTTGCAGCCTTGTTGGGAGTGAATGCAAATTTTAAAAAAAAATGTTTTTTTGCTTTGAACTTCCACTTTTAGTCTATAGATTATAGACTCATAGACTATAGGCATAGTCTAAAGGCATGTTTTTGCGCAAATATAAAGTTTAAAGTTTTTTGACAATGTTTTAATTTATTAATTAGAAGAATTCTATTTATTTACTTAGTTTTATTTTAAACGCGTTTTATGTTATTAAGGTTATAAACTATAAAACAGCAATAAAACAGCGTCACGAAGTTGTTTTACATTAACACAAGCTCTTTATATTGTTAAAACAACTTTGCAGTTTGTTTTGTTGTTGTTTTATGGCTTTTTACAATAACAATCAAGTATTCTTTAAAAAAACAACACGTGCTTTATTGTCAGCATGAATCTATTAAATAGTTTTCTATGACTAGTTAAAGTGGTTAAAATATTGTAATATTTGTGTTTTTAATTTTACTTTTTTAGTTTTACTTTTTTAAGTATCATGTTAAGTAAAAACAATTAAAAGTAATATCTTAATAGTATTATATACGTTACTTGCTCATTACACTATAACTGCAACTTAAACTTTAAATTATAACTTGAGCTGTAAATTATAACAGTAACTTACGCTATTTTAAACTCTGCCAAATGAGAAAATTATAAGATAATATTTAAATATGAGGATAATATGTTTAAAAAATAACAATCACAAAATAATTTATAAAAGATACAACTTTATATTAAAGCAACCCCTCCCCCCCATAACTGCAAAGCAGTTGGAGGGATGAGGGGGGATGCAGTAAAATTTTTTGTGGTTAGATTTTTTATTGTATTAATATGAGCCCTGATATGTATTTGTCACAAAGAATATCAAGTGTTAGTGTTGAAGAATAAACAAAGAGAAGTTACAAGTACTGTGGTGTGGCAGAATAGTGTGGCAAAATTTTGATTGTCGCAAATTTTTATTGTCACAAATTTGATTGTCGAAAATGTAAAATAGTAATAGTGTCGCAAACTGTCGCATTATTGATTGTCAAATAACAGAATAAGGAATAATTTTACAAATGAATTTAATGAATAGTGTCAAAAATAAAAAAATAAATAATGTTGCACAGGAATTTGATGAATAGTGTCAAAAACAAAAAAAAAAGAAAAGTGTTGCAAATGAATAGTCTCGAAAATGAATTTAATGAATAGTGTCAAATATAGAAAAAAGAAATAATGTCCTAAAGGAGTTTAATGAATAGTAACAAAAATAAAAAAATAATAACTATAAACCTATGTTTAGATAACATGTCTGATGTCATACTGAAATAGCCTGCTGCTGGGAGCTTCAGTACATACACCAACTATCTTAAAGCCTGTTGCCGCAAAGGAGTGTTGCTACATTGACTGAGGGTTTGGGGTTTGGTAGCAATCTTTTCATTTATTATTCTTTGTTTTTTTATTCTTTTTTGTTCTGTAAAAGCGGTATGCTATAAAGATAAGCAAAACAAGTAAACAATTGTTGAAATTAACTATTCACAACTTTAGTTTTAATTCATTTTTTTTGTTTTTGACACATTTATTAAATTCATTTGCAACACTATTCCTTTTTCTTGTAACATTAGGTCTTTTAATATATTCGACACTATTCTGAAGTTCATTTTTTGACACTATTCCTGTCACCCAGCACTAGATCTACAAGATGAAAAAGCGTATACTGTTGTTAAAGGTATAACACATCTTGATGAAAACAATTTATTAAAGAGTATAAAGATGATTGTAGCAGACACTACAAATGTAAACACTGAAAGAAGGAATGGGATAGTCAGTTGCAGTTACAAAGACATTTTTCTGAAAAGAAACTGTAAGAATCACAATTCATTAGTTGTCAACATTATGTTCTTGACTGAGTTCTTTGTGTAGTAATGGATGAAGAACTTAGAGGAAATAACTTGTTGTCCGATATCGCATGTTTGCTCATCCCAAAACTTATAAAGAACTACAAATAGCTTAGGAAGAACTTTAAGAATTGTAAAGAAGTGATTATTGAAACAGCTGGATTGCATAGTGATATAAAATTTCTATTTCATTTAACTCATGTATTTTGAAGAATCAAGTATTTGATAAGAATCTGAAGTATTTCATAAAGCGTTAAATTCAGTGAAAAAGCGTTAATCTCAGTGAAAAAGTTTTGTAATCAGGTATGATCGAGACTTGAGTTTCACAGAACAAAGTGTGCAGAACAAGCAATCAAGTATCTTCAAAATCTTTTTGACATCTGTAAAAAGAAAAACCTCCAGCTAAGATTTATTTTGTCTAACAAAGCATAAAAATAGTATATATATATATATATATATATATATATATATATATATATATATATATATATATATATATATATATATATATATATATAGACAGCGTGGAAAATAAAGCCATTCAATGACTAATAACCAACCAAAATGGCTAAAATTGTTATTTTGACCTCCCAAAATGATTTCTTGCAGGTCATGGTTGACCGGTTGAAAGAAATCAGAGTTTTAAAAAACAAAGTTTGATAAATAATCAGGATGTTATTTGTAAAAAGCATATACTGAAGTTTCATAAAATCATTTAAATTTAGAAAAAGCGTTTAAAAATTTTTTATTGTTTATAATGCTTTAATTGCTATCAGGTTGTTGAAGCAAAAAGTTTATAAACGAAAAGTTGTTTAGGTAAATTTTTTTTATTTAATTTTTCTCTTTTAACAAAATTGCCTGGTTTTTATTTTTGTTTTTAAATGTTGCATTAAATTAATTTTTTATTAATAATTAAAAGTTAATAATTTGGTAATAGTTTTATAATATTAATTCTACTACTTAAAATATATTTAAATATATATTAAATTTATTGTTATATTATTAATAAACTATTTCATGTTAATAGAAACCAGTAATTTTTCCACTTTAACAACCCTGATCCCATTAATTTGCCTCATTGACAAATATTATACACAAAGTAAACTATATCTATCAATTTTTTTTTGCTTCACTTATTTAAATTAATTTTATTTTAATGGTGAAGAAAATCCTTTTATCATAAAAAATTGAAGTTCTTTTTTTAGTGTTTTATTAAAAATATTTAATATATATTTTATAATATTATTATATATAATAATTTCTGTATTTAAATAAGAACATTTTTTGTTTCAATTGTACTTTGTTAATTTGTTTTAACTTTCTTTAAATCTTTTAATTTACTTTCTTGTAAGTTTTGTCACAAATTGCAAATAAATGAATCAATGATTTATAGATAAATTTTAAATTATTGGTTGTGCATTTATGCTTTTTTTTCTAAAAGAGATTATTTAAATATATCAAGCCTTGCGATGAAGCAGGAGTGATCGTTCCACACACATGAATCACGCCCATAAATGCCCTTCCTGATGCAAAAAATAGCACTCACTAATTTCGTTATGAGAGTAAAAAATTACTCTTGCCTGATGAACTTGCAAGGAAGAAAATTATATGTTGGTTTTATAAAAAATATTTTTGTAAAATTTTTTTGCTGAAGTCAAAATATGTTTAATTAAATAGTGGAGTTTGCATATTCTTAAATAAAACTTAAATAATACTAACAAAGTTATATTTGTTATAAAGTATGTCACACATAAATTAAAATTAAAAATGCATAAAGATAATTTATTTCTTCTATTTGAAAGTTAAGTTCAGTATTACATTTTTTTTTAATTGCTGCTGAACTTTATTATTTTATCCCTTGATCATACCCTGGTTAAGTCAAACCATTCGCCAACTCATACAGTTTTTTGGGGTCCATTTGACAAAAAACTTTGCTTAACTTCAACTTTCAGTCTGAATTGCATAAAATTCCATGTAATAAAACCTCAAATATAACACTTAAATAAAAATTCCAAACTTTGAATGCTTAAAAATTAAATATCTAGCGGAATATTTTATTTATAATAATTTATCAAACTTCATTTACAGCTTCACTTCACTGAAGTTCAGAACTTCAGTTTTGTACAGGTTTGATTACATTCTATTTATTAATGACTATTATATTTAAATTCAAAAACATCAAATAAAATTAAAAACTGATTTCCTGGATTTTACATGAAAAAAATTAAAACCGAGCGCATAATTGCGCTCATAATCAAGTCTTCAATTTATTTTCCATGCTGTATATATATATATATATATATATATATATATATATATATATATATATATATATATATATATATATATATATATATATATATATATATATATATATATATATATATATATATATATATATACGTATATATATACGTATATACATACATATAATTATGTATGTATATGTTTATATTTATTGACATATATGTATATATGTAGATACAGTCAAAACACTTACCTGACATGTTGGAAAAATGTTTACTACTAATCAATGATTGTACTTGTTACATGTCTCCCACTGGTTTGGTTCAACTATTAAAGAAGGTTTTTCATTAAAAATTTAATTTTCTTTTTCTATTTCTTTTTTTAATTGTTACTGTTTTTATCTTTTAAAATTTTTTATTTTAATTTCAAAATGTTTTTAAATGTTTTTAAAAAGATACTACCAATACTTGGGAAAAAAAAAATTGCTCAATCAGTAAGTACTTTTTTTCTAAATATTATTAAGTAGTATATATATACAATTAATATTGAGTGTATTCTACAAAATAAAGTGCTCAGTATTCAAATAACAGAGCAATAATAAATTATTAGAAAATCAGTAATTAAATTTTTTTTTAAAACAGAGCAATAGCAAATTATTAGAAAATCACCTATCAAAAAAAGGTTTTTAATGAGTCTTCCCAGCCAGCACAAACATGTCTTTTTAGCATCTAAAATGTTAACACCTTTTAGACATCTAAATTCAGATAAATATAGGACATCTAATAGTATTCACCTTTGATATATATATATATATATATATATATATATATATATATATATATATATATATATATATATATATATATATATATATATATATATAATCAAATTTTTATTTTTAATTTCAAAATTTTTTAAGATGTTTTTACAAAGATACTACCAATGCTTGGAAAAAAATAAATATGAGTGTGTGTTTAGATAATATCTCTGACATAACACTGAAATAACCTGCTGCTGGGGACTTCAGTAATTAAGAAGATACAGCATTCAACATCCTAAACTGTAAACAATGTATTAAAAATACATCTCTCGTGCAGATGAAGAAGGTGCTTAATAGATGAAGAAGGGGTGCGAGGTCAACAAATAGAATCTGTTTACCTCTTAAGTCTTTGCCTAGAGGTCTTCTTCAAGACAGCAGCCGAATGCATTTAACATCTGCCCAAGATGAGTATTTTTATGGAGACACCATCTCTAGCCTTTACTTAACCAAGAGCCCCAAGGCAGGGGGTATTTTATGTCTGAGTTGGCATCTTCTAGCCTTTGCCTAAAAAAGCGTATCCTACAAGGCAGCAGGATATGGAGCAGATTGTACTGGGTTACATGTTACCAGTAGCAGGATAAACTTGACATGATAAATTGACAAAGGCAGGGGGTTTTTTATGTTGGAGTTGGCATCTCCTAGCCTTTGCCTAAAAAGGCATATCCTACAAGGCAGTAGGACATGAAGCAGATTGTACTGGATGACATGTTACCAGTAGCAGGATAAACCTGACCTGAAAAAAATTATAAAAACAGTTTCAAAACCATATTAAAAAATTTACAATATATAGGATTTATTCAATGAGTGGTTGTGAATATATATATATAATATTGTTTACAATTTACAATTGACTAAATGTTTTTCTTTGTTCAAGGTTTTTATATCACTTATGACATACTGTAGTCAATCTTTCAATATACTGCTCATATGGCTAGGAATGAATATTCAGGTAAATTAAAAGATGTATCTGTGTATCAGGTAAATTAAAAGATGTATCTGATATTTTAGTACTAAGCTATTTTAATTTAAAAAGTCATAACAAAAAAACTATTTTTTTAGGTTCTATGGTTATTTTAAAAAAAGGGCACATATATAAAACAAAAACTGTTGTCCAATTTTTACCATGTAAAAAACACAGTTGTCCAAGTTATTTATAACTAAACCAATGATAATAAAAGCTTAAGTCACGTGACTAACTTTTATCCTTAAGAAAAATGTGTCGGATGAAGTAAAAAACATTAAGTTCATAGAAAAACATTTTTTAAAAAAACAGTATAATATATTCTGATTTTGATATTGCTAACAATATATTGTAAATAAAGAATGTTTTGGATGTATTGCACCAGCTCCATCAGAGTAAAGCTTAAATGTTTTAATAGAGGAAAAGAGCTACATGTCTTCCAACTTATCGCACTTTTAATTGTGAAAAAACTTGGATTTCCCGCAAAAAATAAAATGTCTAAATGTTTTAAACCAATATATATATATACTATTCCAGGCAACAGCACTTTTATTTTTTAAACACTAATATACTTTCAATTCAAAAATTATATTTTTATTGCTATGATGAAACTGTTGGAAACAGATCGTCTGATGTTGTATGTTCTATGCTGCATGATTTTAAATTATCAATTATCTCAAATGTAAAGGATATTAAATTGATTTGCAACTTATGTGCTCGGCAAAATAAAAAATAAAAAGTTTTAGATAAATTTAATTATCTAGTTCATAAAACTGAAAAACTTGACAACATTACTGTTTCATTACCAATTAGAACTATGTCACATTCTGTATAGCCGTGACACCTCTATAGAATGTGACAAAAAAATAGCTATTGCAAATCAAAAGTTTCTGGAAGAACACTAGATGATCTCACAAAAAACCATAACATTTCAATATTATATATAAACATGAGACAAGAAAAATTTCTGAAATTTGCTGAGTTTCAAACCCAAACTTCTTAGTTTGTTCATTTAAGACATGTTCACTTAGAGAAATTGAAATATTAAAGGCTAGTTAAATTTTAATTATATGGAAAATTATTTTCAAAATAAGTCATTATTTGATATTATTTTATCTTACTTTTGAAAAATTTATTTTATTTTTCTTTGAAATTAAAAAAACACATTTGTATTAAAGTGTTATTTAAAGTTGGTTTTTGTATGGTTTATACAAACTTGATATAAAGTGATAAAACACAGTCATCATGGAATTATTTATGGTAAATAGATGAGGTTGGAGAATAGATAAGGTTGCATTGCTATTTTGTATAAGGTTAAAAAATAACTTTCATATAATTTTTTATTTGAATTTTTTTATGAAAAGAAGGAGAGGGGGGGGGGATGCTTTATATCCCACCACACACTTAGTACATTGTGGTTGTATATCACAATATGTTACCATCCACCTTTAAAAAAAATAAGTGCTCTAAAAGGTTACAAGCTAATGTGGTTTATGTATTGATGAGTTTACAATGGAAAAATCACAAATGTCCAAAGCGTGTCTTGTTTTCAAAAGAACACTGTGAATATATAATTCTTGTATTTAGCACAAAAACTGCAGTTATATATTGTGTTAGGACTAAAATGTCATAAAAATATACTATTAATTAAATACATTATTAAGAAACAGACATTGAATGTCACTAAACACTAGATTTCATTTTTCTCAAAATGAGAAAAATGTGACATCTGGTTTAACCCATGTGGTCTTCAAACTAAATTTAAAGGGGTATAAATTTGAGACAGGAATAAAAAAGTTACCAGCACTTTTAAGAGAGAGTTAACTACTCCTAAGTTTTTTTTTTGTGTAGCAGCCTTGTTTAGTTTTGTTTTGGAACCATAGCGTTTAGTTAAAAGAGGGTTATAAAAATCTTTTTTCAAATAAAATTGATGAATAATCTACTTAACTGTAGCAGTTTCTTGTTGTAAAGATAATGATTTGAACAAATATACTAAAAAAATTTGAAAGTCCACAAATAAAAAATATGTTAATTTTGTTTTTTTTTATTTGTTAGTTATAAAAGTATATTATAAAATTTACCAAATAATATAAATAAGATAAAGCATTTGAAAATATTAATATATATAAGTTTATTGAAGTTAACATATATAAAATTGAATTTATTTAAAAAAAGTTTTTTTCTGAAATAATTTTTTTTTAAATAACTTGTTTTTTCATGGTTAAATCCACGGTACTAATTAAAATATAGTTTATTTCCATTGTACTCACATAAAAATATAATTCATCTACATGGCACCTATAAAAGTATGCTTTATCTTTTTGGTATCTCTAATAAAAATATGCTTAATTTTCATAGTGCCTTCTTTAAAGTGATAATTTATTTCTGTTGTATTATCTATTGAAAAAAACTATAAAATAATCTATAAAATTGTTTATAAAATTTTTTTTTAAGAATATCAACTTTAAAGCTCAGTTACGTTGGGAGTAAATTTGCAATTTAAAATCAAAATTATCTTCTAAGATGATTTTTTTGTATTGAACTGTGATGTATAAGTTTTAAAACATATATGTTTCTTTTTTTTTTAACATTTTTTAAAACATTTTCTTTTTTTCTTTTAGAAATGGATAAAAATAAAATCATGTGAAAATTCTGATGTTTTTAAAATGTAAATTTTTATACTTTTTAATAATTCAACCTTTTTTATATTATTATATATAATTTTTTTATTCAAAACTACTGTTGAAAAATTTTTGCTACTAACTTAGTGATTAGTAAATAATTTAGAAATTTGATGATGCTCATATCTATGCCACAGATATCTAAGCTACATTGTTCATTACTGTTAAGTTTGTTAGAGCCATACCTTCATGTATGTAACTTTTATTTTATTTATTTGCATGTCATTCTGTATTTATGTATATCATTGTGCACTTTTTTCATAGTTGAAATATATATATATATATATATATATATATATATATATATATATATATATATATATATATATATATATATATATATATATATATATATATATATATATATGTATATATATATACATATGTATATGCATAACTCTTTATAATAATGCTAAACTTAGTAGTAGTAGTAGTGCCCACTCATGCATATGCAACACCCTAACATTATTTAGGAACAAATGTTATCTTGGACTTAAAATATAATAATTCAAGTCCAAGGTATGCCATCATTAAACTAATTTAAAAATAAATAAAAAAATAAATAAAAAGTATCCATTTGAGGGTTTTTTTTTAAAAAAAAAACATTGCACAGGTTAGATATTGCACCTTTTCAATTTTGCACAGGTTAGATATTGCACCTGGAGAAAATTGTATAAGTATTATATTGCCATTAATAGAAAAAAAGAAAAAAAGTGGATGTATAAAATTTTTAAACAGACTCTAAATATTAAATAATTGAAAAAAATATGTACATTCTTATAAAATCTTTTATAATTAAAGTCTTTTTTAGCTTTCCTAAAAAAGACTTTAATTATACAACCTTTGACTACATTTATCAATATCTGATAAGGACAAGCTAAAAATACAAAAGAGTTAATTATTGATTTCTTTTGTTTAACAAAGATATATAAATGCTATAATAAGTTATCAACAACACCATCAACAAGGTCTTGACAAACTTCAGGTTAACTATTTTGAGTGAGCATTCATTTTCATGCCAGATTAACCGAGTCTGATTGGATAACATTTCCCACCAATGGTATCAAAAGATTGTTTAAAAAATCTATTTGTTTCAAATGATTTGCTACATTTTCTGAACTTTAAATAGTTAATGTATATTTTGAGACTAGGCACTAGCTGTTTCTAAATTACAAAGTAAAAGTACTATGAATATAAATAAACATGAGTAAAAATATACAAAATTTTGCAACACACAAAAATATATTTCTTTACTACATTGCAAAAAATGAATTCTTATTTTAAGCAAAAAAAAAACTTGTTTTAAGCACTTTTTTACTTAAAACAAGTAATTTTTTTACTTAGCAAGAATTATTTTACTGAGCAAGATTTTTTTTCTAAGCAAGATTTTTTTTTAATTCAAAAATTGCTTGTTTCAAGTAAAAAAATTGCTTGTTTCAAGTAAAAAAAATGCTTGTTTCAAGTAAAAAAATTGCTTGTTTCAAGTAAAAAATTGCTTGTTTCAAGTAAAAAAATTGCTTGTTTTTGAGTCAAAAATTGCTTAAAGCAAGTTTTTTTTGCTTATATATAGAATTCATTTTTTGCAGTGTGTACCAATATTAGGAATAACTTCTGCAACAAGCAAAAATCTTGTTTTAAGAAAAAGATATATCTATACAAACAAAAATACTATTTTTTATGATATATATACACAACATTTTATGATATATAAACACACTATTTTATGATATATATATATAAACTATTTTTTTTATGATATATATACACACTATTTTTTGTATGATATATATACACACTATTTTTTGTATGATATATATATATAGATACTATTTTATGGCAATCGTACATTGTACATTTTAAATTGAACATTGTACATTAATATATACACCTTATTTTATGATATATATACATACTATATATGATATATAAAACTAGTATATGATATATAAAAACACTAATTTTTAAAAATTATGTAGTCATTCATGCGGAAATGTTTTATTAAATCTGCTAGGATACTTTGTTATCAAAAAAAAACTGCAACATACTTAGTGCAATCTCATAGTCTTTTGTATAATCAAAATTTATTAAATAAAACAATGCTATATCAGTAAGAATGGTTTTTTATGCAACTTGCACATTAGCCATTATCGTTTGCTAAACAATTAGCATAAACACATCTCCATCCACCAAAAGAAGAGGAATATTTCCAGATCTTCTGCTACACCATGCATCCCGGTCTTCATATGTATAAAATAAAATAAACAGCAATAAGTATGTTACTTTAGTATAACCATTAATTACTCTAATAAAAACTTATTGAATTTTAATTTTTTTAATCATCAAAACTATTAAATTAGAAATTAATTGATTAAAATAAATTAGAAAAAGTTTATAAAATTTTTTGTTAGCTAGCTTGGGTATTTTTTTAGTGATTAAATATTTGAAAATAATTCTAAGATAAATGAAAAAATAGCAGAGTGGTCATTTTAAAAACAAATCTAAAAACAAATCTGAAAAACACAACTTATAGCATCAATTTCTTTTTTTAAATGCTTTATCAAGTCACTCTTAAAACTGTTAATACTCAGCACCTTTAGACAGCTTCAATATCCTTCTCACTTCTTCTATTATTTAAAAAATGAAAAAAGTATAATGGCTTTAAATATTGTATACAGTCTTGGAATTAGAATCTGCATTAGGCAATGCAGAATTCAATTGTATCAATTGGGATAGATAGGCAAACAGGCAATTTAGTGTGAATTGAATTATTTACGTATATTTGTTACAATGTTTTGTTTTTTTTTAAATCCACAACATAAAATAATCTTGATATAGCCACTATATATAATTTTAGTCTTCAGCAAAATTTACAGACTTTATTTGAGTATTAGAACAAATTCTATAAAAAAAACTTCTAGAAATTTTATCTATAAAGATTCTATAGAATTTGATTAATTCTTTACAACTTTTATAGGAATAAAATAATTTTATAAAATATTTTTTGTCCTGGGTGATAACATAACTCAATAAAATTAAGTGTAACAAATTTGTATTTACAAAAAAAACACGGTTAGTTTAGTTGACTGTTTTTTTTATTTTTCTGGTATTTTTATATATCATTATGATTAGACTCATATTTAATACTGTTCGATGTTTTTTTTAATTCTAATTTATTTATAACCAATGTTTCCAGAAAAGCTTATTAATTAAATATGTAGATCTAGCAACTAAAATTTAAGAGCTTAATTTTAGCGTTTGATTTGTTATAAATCAAACGCATATGCAACTTAAACTAGGATATTATTATCAAATAAATGAGTGAATGTAACTTAAACTAAGCTGTTAGTAACAGCTTGATGTAAAATAAATCGCTAAAATTAAGCTTTCAGATTCTACATATTTAATTAATATTTGGAAAAATAATTTTGAAAACATAAAAAAGTTAGAAGAAAAAAAAAAAAAATCAATAAATATTATAAATGAGTTTTTTATTGAGTCTTGATTTCAGAGGAAAGTTCCATGATTTAGTTGATTGATACTTGGTAAAATATGTGCCATTCTTAGCCATAACCTTGTGTTACACTTATTTCAAATGTAACACAAGGTTGCTTCATGATTGGTTCCTGCATCTTAGGTTATGATGACAAATTGTATCATTAAATTTATAATGACTATTAAAACTTATTGATATTTTGTTTTGTAGACTGTCCCTGACAAAATTGCAATTTAGTAGGAATATTAAATCTATAATCTTCATTAATTTTGATAGACTGTAGAAGATGTTTGAGATGAAGATGAAAAGGAGGTTTGAATCAACTTTATAGATGCAACATGCATCTTGCAGTCAACTATTTTATAATAAATCAAGCATCACAAAAAGCACACTCTTTAAATTTTTATCCATCACATTTTTTTATATGCTTTTTCAAGCATATAAAAAATAGTTAAAAATATATGTACATCCTTTTTTAAGCTATTCATAAAAAATAGTTAAAAATAGCCACTATATTTTTTATACAAAATAAATGTTCCAGAGCATTTATTTGCTCTATGTTGGCAGAAACTTTACAAAAGTTAATCAAACTCAAAGAGTAAATTTGTTCATGTTCCGTGTTTCACAGAATTTTCCATCAAATATTTTATAATGTGAACAGAGTGTAAGTTATAAATTGTAAAGTAAGCATAAATTGAGTTTGCGTGTGGTATATGGAACAATCGGGTATGATATGTATAATATAAGAAAACTCAAGTTGTTTTTTTTTAACAGTTATAAGTCATTTTTCTTATATATATTTAAAAAAGTATCATGATTTGAAAAAATAAAAAATGTATTATGGTAAGAGGTGGATTTGAACCCTTTGAAATGACACTGAAGACAGATCACCTTTTCACTGAGCTATCAAAGATATGTTTAAGGGGGGAAAAAAATTATTTAATAAAGCTTTTTTACAGTTAAATAACATTTTTTAGGCAGGTTACTCTAAGCAAGAGCAACTGTATAGCAACTATATAACTAATAATAAACAAATATGTTATTTGCAAATGTAAAAAACTCACTTATATAGTGTTGTGTATTAACGTCAGTAAGGGTTAACATTAGTATAGAAGTTGGGTTTGCGGGTTTTAGATGGAACAATCATATATACACCCTATATTCAATATCATGCTCAAATATTCAACAAATTCTTTTCTGATCGAAATGTAAGCAAAGAACTTGTTAGAAGAATATTAGCAAAAAAAGGTATTGGGTTTTACATTGCAATTGGAAAGCCTATCCTGTCAATCATGGATTGATGCAAAAGATGAAAATAGCGCAAAGAACATTTACATTAGGCAGTTAAAGATTGGGCAAAAGTGATTTGGAGCGATGAGTCTAATTTTCAGGCTGTGATCCACAAGGAAGAATATATAATGTAAAAGATTTGCAACTGAGAAATATTGTGAGCGCTATTTACAAGGTGGTGGAGGCTCAGTAGGCATATGGTGTTTTTCCCACAAAGGCCTAGGTTTTTGTGAGCTGTATAATGGCCGTATCAAGTAATATACCTATAAAAACACACCTAAAGACATGTTTGATTCCATTGACAAGGCATTTGTGTGGCAGAAACAAGCAATAGATCTTCCAGCAAGGCGGGGCTGGAGTACAAACACAGGGCATAGTATTACAAACTGGTTTTTGACAAAGAAGATCAATTTGTTGCCTTGGTGCCCTAGATCACCAGATATCAATCCAATAGAAAATATGTAAACCATCAAATTCATTCATCTAAGCATTTGAAGCAAATTTTGAACAAGTACTTGTTAAAAGTGCCACATGAGATATGCAATATCTCATGTGGCATTTTTATGAAACTGGTCGATATGAAAGATATGAAACTGGTTGAATCAATGCAACGACAAGTTCTTCTTTATTATCGAGCCAAAGAAGGACACTAAATATTAAATTTGAAATTTTTTTATTTTTTGTGTTCTTAACTCAGTTAAACTTTTATGCAACTCATTTTATGATTATATAATTATTTATTTAATTTTTTTGTATTACTTTTTTAGCTATCTTATCTTATTTAATTGTATAGCTAATAGATTGTTCTTTTAAAAATAAAAAAAATTAATTAAATTCATTTTTCCGATTTTTTTAGTTAAAAAACCCTGAAAAGTTTGATTTAAGTTGCCATCTTGATTAAACTTTTTTTGCATAGCTATGTCATCTATTTTTGCATATTTTTATTTATATTAGCATATATTCATGTACTTTTTTTTAATTACCAATAGTGTCTTAAAATGATCACTAAAATCATATACAAGATCATGAAAACATATTGTTTGTGATGCATATTGCATCACAAACAATATGATCATGTTTTTAGTTGATACATGAAATGTCTTAACTTTTAGATACTTCCTGAAGACCAAAAGTTAGATGCTTCAAACTTTTATATTCCTTATGTTCAACCTACAGCTTACATGAAGCTTGGTAAATTTTTGTTGCTATTTACTTTTTGATAAAAGTTTTTTTTTTTTTTTTTTTTTTAAGATTGACTGTAAGAACCCAGGTGAGGGTTTAAAAAACCATTAAAAATCCATTTTTATGGTTTTTTTAAATTACGCCCAGCTTTGAATATTGTTAGGTTCAGTATATTCAGTTTTTCTGTGTAAGTACAGTGGTTTTGGTATCATATTTGTTGCATGACATTGCTGTTGTTTGAGAGCAAAAATATACTTTTTCAAGATAAGGATTCCATTCTTAAATGGAAAATTTGTTTAACATTTTTTTTGTTCTTGTATTCAAATGAGGATGCCATTGTTCTAAGCATTTTATTTGATTTGTGGCTGTGGCTCTGACTTGTTTTAATTTTATTGGTTGTTTTTTATTGGGTAAAAAAAAACATGATTTGAATGAATTAGGCATAAGAATATGTAGAAAATATACTACTTAGAATATAAATTTATAATAATAAATTTCTATAAATAAATGTAAACAAGTTAAGTAACAACAATGGAAACTCGAATTGTGAATGAGCTAAAAAATAAATAAATGTAAACAAGTTAAGTAAAAACAATGGAAACTCGAATTGTGAATGAGCTAAAAAATAAATAAATGTAAACAAGTTAAGTAACAACAATGGAAACTCGAATTGTGAGTGTGAAACTCGAATTGTGAGCTAAAAAATAGTTTCAAATAGATCTAAACAAATTAAAGTAAATCAGAATAAGAAATTGTCCTAAGACAAAAATTTTAGGGACACTATAACACTACTTTCCATGGAATTGAAAATCTTCCATTATCACTATTTGTTTGCATGTATCAGGAGATTTTCTATCCAGGAAAACAAGTGCTTGTCAGTGTCATATCTATTTAGTTTATTTAGCATATTTAGGATATTTGCCATATCCATTTTATTTATATTTAAATTAATGGTGCGACCTATGTCTAGCATGTTTTAATTTTTTATTTGTTATACATGTTTTGTGTTTAGTGATGACTAATTTGTGATTTTTGTGATACATAGTGTTTTTTTATGTATTTGTTTTTTCAGCTTGAGTGTCATCCAGTACTGTTTTAACTTTTTGAGATTTTCACAGTTGGTGATGTGTTTATTTAAACTTTTTGAGATTTTCACAGTTAGTGATGTGTTTATTTTAACTTTTTGAGATTTTCACAGTTAGTGATGTGTTTATTTTAACTTTTTGAGATTTTCACAGTTATTGAAGTGTTTATTTTAACTTTTTGAGATTTTCACAGTTGGTGATGTGTTTATTTTAACTTTTTGAGATTTTCACAGTTGGTGATGTTTATTTTAACTTTTTGAGATTTTCACAGTTGGTGATGTCACAGTTGGTGGTGTCACAGTTAGTGATGTGTTTATTGTTTGCATTAGAGTAATAGTTTAAAAAAACTTTCTTGTTTTTATTTATATTATCAAAAGCTAATTTTTTGTCTCATTTGACATCTGTCATCATTTTAGAAAAGCACACACGCAGTCACTATTTAGAAAAGCACACACGCAGTCACCTTTAGTGTATAGAAGGTTATTTAATTTGCATTTTATGTGAGAACATGTCAAAAACAAACAAACATTCATCTTATTATAGTCTTTCTTTTGCTATTTCTAATGGATAATCCAAACCAATTAAGATTACTCTGTTTTTCTGGTCAACTAGCAAGTTCAGCATGTTTGTTAAATCTATATTAGCTTTTTATATATGTTAGAACTTTTTGTATTGCATAATAAAAATGTTTATCTAAGAGAAACTTTAGTCAGGTGATTTTTTTTCTATAAGCTAACTTGTTATAGTTAAAGTATCTTCTTATCATTTCCCAAACTTTTAGTTGGTAATTGTCCTCTTGGAATGTTCAAGCATAATGGCATTATGTTGATGGTTGTGTTTCTTTTCTTTTTTTTTTGGTTTATTATCAATAACTATTTAGTAATAATTATTTATTGCTATTAATAAAAACTGTAAATTAAATATTAAAATCTTATCTATGTATGTAATACATATGAGTTTTGTTGTCCATATGTTTTAGTTTTATTAGCTCCTATATACCTGGCTGATAATACTTTAGATTTAGTTTATAAAAAGGTCTTATTGTTTCATATTTGTTATTAATGTTTTTAAAGTGATATATATATTTTTTAGACGTACTGTTTCAGCAACGTATAACAACATTCTTTCAACTTTCTTCATTTCTTTCTCCAAGTAATTCAAGTTTACTTTAAATAAAAACTTTTGAGCAAATTTTAATTTTTTTAGTCAAATTAACTTATGATAGGATGTATTTGTATATGTTATGTATGTGTATATATATATATATATATATATATATATATATATATATATATATATATATATATATATATATGTATATATATATATATATATATATATATATATATATATATATATATATATATATATATATATATATATATATATATATATATACACACACACATACATATATTTATACACCCATATATTTTATACATGTATATACACAAATTCTTTGTTGAATACCAGATGAAAACACTAAATTAGATTAATTTTTGAAACTAAATATACCTATATTAGGCTGCATTAAACCCTACATACGATTATAATGGTTTATACCATAATTTTTTAAATAATGTTCAATGTATACATTTGTTTCTAGCATAGTTTTTTTTTCATATATAAAAAGTTTACAGCAAAGCTTAATGAAGTTTGGAGTTTATGTGGTTCATAATTCAAATGAATATTTTTTTAAATATTGAAAGCTCTTTATTTGACAAATATATACAGTTTTTGCATGCAGAGCTGTAAATACATATTGCAATACTTTAAAAGTACATTTTGATCTGATTTTATTCAATTTAAAATGTTATTGTTAATTTTGTACAGCACGTGTATTATTGCATAACAAATTAACCACTCACTACATCATTTAAAATGTTTTAATTTTGGAGAAATTAGTTTCTTTGCAATGTATTTGGTTCAGTGTTTTCAGTATTTTTGTGAATAGTTTGTAGCTCAGTATGCAGCAGAATCTTGCTATTTTGCATTTACGAAAATGCAAAATAGCAAAATTCTGCTGCATACTGAGCTTCTCTTAATACTCAAAAAATACAAAATAGCAAAGAAATGAAAGACTAAATGAGTACCAAAAATCAATTCTTTCAAAATCAGGAATTAACAACTTTTGGAAATTTTGGCTTGCCAAAACCTGTTCCAAACATGTTCTGTGGAGCCAAAATAGGCCGTTTTTGGCTTAAAAGTCAGCAGACTATCTGCAAGGGATGGCAGTAAATGGAATCATTCTGCAGTAAGAGGAATCATTCTGCAGTTTGATACCAGAATTTTAATTTTAAGGCATATAACACAGTCATCAACTTCAAGTGACTTTTCATACTCTTTCACCACTGTGCTTCCTTGCAATATTTAATTTTAGCTGCAACAATTTTGTCTCGTGGTTTGAATTTTGCCAGATCATCAGTCTTTGATTGCAGGTAAGAAAAATCTTTAAAGTTGAGTTATTTTGCATTTGTAGGCCACAATGTCTGAGCTAGCATTTTTTTTAGCTTTTTCAGTGAGTTCAGAGAGCTGTTCGACAGTTAATTTGGAACGCTCTTAAGTTAGCATTGTTTTCAAGCATTTAAATGAATTGCTTAAATACCTTTTTTCCAATTTTTTGTGGAATATGGACTTTCTCATAAAACACAGATACTTTTGATAGGATAATTTGGCTACTTTTCATCTGGTGCAGTTTTTGTGTGCATCATCGGCTTAATGATGCATCAAACACTGCAAGACTTGCTGACATATAGGCAAATTTAGACAAGTAATTGTTGATTCTTCATCTGTTATTTTGCTGCCATGAATGAATATTGTAGATAACTGTTTTGTTGCAGAAGTTTTCTGAGAAGGGATAGTCGAACAAGGAGTTGATTGCAGACCTGAATGATACTACCTTCCGACTGTTTAACTGGCCACAACATGAATATATATGTATGTATTAACACTAGGAAGCTGAATGTGCTAAAAAAAACAGTTTGCATATAAACAGGGTTGGCCGATTTAAATCACATTAAATCGGCCAATCACATTAAAGTTATAATTTTCTTAATTTTTTTTATAAAAAAGTGAACATGTAATGCTATAGCTCAACTTGCAGTACAGTAATGCATGTACCGTTAACTCCTTCAAAAGACCTTGGTCATCTGAGCAAATATTTTTCATGATTAAAATATATGCTCTACAGATGCAGATGTTCCTGGCAACAGGGTTGGCCAATTTAAATCAAGATTTAAATCAAAAGATTTTTTTGATGACTAATGATTTAAATCAAGTTTTTCTTTTATGTTTGATTTTTGAATAATAAAAATTTATTTAAAAATTATTTTTGTCATATTTCATTACAAAACTAATTAAATACATCAGAACTGTGTATTTATAGAATTAATGACTCAAAGTATACAATAAAAATAAATGAAACAGGTAATGCTGTAGTACATAAAACAAATCAATAAACATAATTATCAATTAAAACTAAAAAAAATTTCTCATTTGTGCAGCATTAAAATTGTTCATCAACATGAAATTGAATAATTTTCTGCTGATTAATTGCCTTGAGGAGGAACACAAGTTTAGCAGCTTTTTCCATACCCAATCTCTCAGTTTTTAATTTACCTGTAAGAGGAGAACACGCATTTAATGAAGCTATTGCAGTCATCAATTGCAAAATTGTATTTAATGTTTTACTTTCAATGTTATCACGGTGTGATCTCCACCACTGAACAGACGATAATGCTGTTAAAACTTCCAAGCTAAATTCAAATTCCAGGAATGGCTATGACTTTTCTCTAAATTTTCATAACTGTTGGAATAATATGTGAATATTGTAGATTAGCATATTCCAACGCAGTATTTTTTTCAATTTTATTCAACATTCTAACTTGTTAATGAGGGTGAAGAAGATTAACCAGAAAATGGGATGGTGTCACTGCTTTTCATATCTTTTTTTGAATTTCTTTTGGGTAACTTTTTCACTTTTATACAAAAGTTTCTTTTCTAGATTCTTCCATACTTTCACTACATCTGCTATTTTGCATTTGTCACTTTGTGCTTTATCAAGTGCAAAAGCAATAGGTTCTAAGCGAACAAGTAGATCTTCTGCAGATCTCTTAATGACTTAGAAGTTAGAGACATTTTGTTGCACTGTAGTGTCAATTATGACTAATTTGCAATATGCACTTTTAGACAGTCAGACATGGTATTCCAGCAAGTATCTTGAGGCAATACAAGTTTTTGTCCACCAGCTTTTTTACATTCTGCCAAAGTAAAATGGTGTTTCCTAAAATATTTGACAATATTTACTATATGATTTTTAACATTGTCAATTTTTAGGTCTTGTGCTAACAAATTTGTTAAATGTGCAAAACAACCATATGTAATTACATCAATATTTGATCGAGATTCAATATTATGCCTCATTAGCTGCAGTCAGTAACAATGGTTCCTACATGACACCCAAATTCAAGCTCTATATTTGTAATTGATGAAACTGCTAGTTCTTCAAGATATTCAGAAGTGTGCAAGCTTCCAGATGTGTCAATTGTGTCAGTTAAATAGACATCACTTGTTTCAGTTGTAACTGTAACACAAATTAAAAATTGAAATGATGAATTTGTTGCAAAAATCGTTCTTGCAATCTGCTCATCAAATATAGCCTTTTGACTCTGACTTATTCCAACAACATGTGACAATATCCCGGAACTTGTATTTTTATTTATTGGACCATTATTATTTATATTTTCTGTCTGGATTTTTTTGCTGATAAATTTAAATAACATTTTCCTGCTAAAACAGATGATTCTGTTGGTTGCTTTGTAACATCAAATTGATTGTTAGAAGAAGTAGTTTGAAATTCAATTTTTAAAAATATTATTAATTTACAAAAATAATTAATTATTATAATGTGTACATTATATCACCTTCTGTATTGTTTTTATGACAACATTTATTTAAGTATACTTTCATTCTTGCCACCAGATTCTGCAGTTTTTTTTATATCCTACATCTTGCTACTTGTTTCAATCTTTTCAAATTTGAACCACACTGGGTTAGATCTTTAAATTACTTTAAATTATATTAAAAAGTAATAAAAAAATATTTTATTTAAATTTAAAAATAATTTTTTTGATTTTTTTTTTTTATAATCTGGATTTTTTTCAACACTGCATATAACAATTGAATGAATTTTATACTAGGCTTAATAAAAAGAAAAAAAATTAACATCAAATTAGATAAAAGCAAAATATTTTGTAAAAATTCACTTTTAAACCTGCAGACTCCACAAAAAACTTGAATTAACATGCAAAGTTTATTTAACAAAGTTCAATAACACTTTAAATTAGTATTATAGAGGTAGAAATTTTTTTATGAACAAATATAATTATAAATAATTATCTTATTATATTGGGGTGGGCCAAAAAACAACAACTTTTAAAAATTGACATATATATATATATATATATATATATATATATATATATATATATATATATATATGAATTTATGTATGTATATATGTATGTATATATATATATATATGTGGATATATATATTTATATATATATATATATATATATATATATATATATATATATATATATATATGATGTTTTCATCTGGTCTGCGACAAATAGTTTATGGTCTGCAAATTTTAAAATTTTAAAATTGACAAAAAGTTTATGGAGTTAAAAGTTTAAAACAACTTTTTTTTACTTTGCAGATATTTATCAAAAAAACTATTCTGATATTCTTAAAGTATTGTTTTTACATTCTCAATACATTTTAACATCAAAAGAAAGAGATGTTTTGTTTCATGCATTGTGTAACCTCTACAAAATAGAAAATGATGAAATGAAAGAACGCATCACTGGGTAAGTTGTTTTGGTTGTTGTTTGTTTATAAACATTGTTTATTATAGCATTGTTTTATAGTTTTCTTTTTTTGTGGTTTAAAAAAACCACATTATATATATGTAATAGTATTAGTTTTCTTTTTATTTATACCTGTTGTTGTTTACAAAAAACTTTTTGATAATATTAGTTTTATAAATAAAAGTTGAGCATAATAATAAAAAAGTTCAAAAAGTTATTTGATAATTCTATTATAAATTTTTTAATTGCATTAGGCAAAATTAACTAGATTTATGCAAATAATACGCAAGTTATATAATAATACACAACTGAAAAGTTGTTTTAATTGAAGTTACCTATGCTTAGTTTTCACCTATGGGATAAATAACTTAAGTTTATTAACCAGGCTATTTTTATGATGGTTTTGACCAGGTTATGCTTAGTTCATAGGCAACTGTAATTAAAAAAAAAACCAACACTTCAAAAGATGAATTAACTCAGATTTACCAGATCGTTACAAATTTTACAGAAAAAACAACAAAATTACTGCAAATACAAAAATTGTAAAAGTTCACCAAGACTTTTATAACTAACATGTTTTTAATATTATTTATATAAAGCAGTTGTTATTTCTGGTTTTATAAATACAGGATAAAAATACTTATCATTATATACCAAAATTAAAAAAATAGAAATGATGAAAATATACACAGTTCACAAATATAGGTTTTAGGTATAAAATGATATGGCCCCGGAAGTTTCAACGGATTTAAGTTACTAATACCATATGTTTTAAGGATCTAACTTTAAAAAATCTAATGCGATGCCCTTTTTGAGAAAATTTTGTTTAAAAATTAAAAAAAAATTTATTACACTTTTTAGAATTTTAATACAACGTTTATTACTATAATAATAATACAACGTTTATTACTATTTTTAGTTAAATATTTCAAGATTACAATATATATATATATATATATATATATATATATATATATATATATATATATATATATATATATATATATATATATGTATGTATATATATATGTATATATATGTATATATATGTATATATATGCATATATATATATATATATATATATATATATATATATATATATATATATATATATATATATGCAATATAGCTACAAATATTGATATAGAATGGGAAGCTCACTCACAGCAATGTTCTTTGTTAAGAATAGATGTTTATTTTGAATCCATAACAGCAATTTTATTCTACTTTATGAATTTGTTCATCTTGCAAATCATAATTACATATAAATACATACATACATGTACAAGCTGGCTTCCAATAATTCTATACCAATTAATGTTATTGAAAACTGGAAACAAATAGATCTAATGCTTTTCAAGTCTCGAAGAGATTGTAGCATACAATGCACAGTCTGCACTATGGCAAAATTCATGGATCGTAAGGTGTTAGGGAAAATCGAAGCTAGAATTGAAATATCAAAGTCAGAAAAACCTTTTCTTTTATGTTCTAACTGCTTTTGTAATCTTGGCAAAGGTATAAACCACAAATGTTCTCCTGGACAGGAGAAAGTATATATTATAAGCCAGCTAAGCAGCAGGTCATCAAAGGTACAACAGTAAGTTACTTCAATTCTGCTCAAAAACAGACGAACGTTGGTAAAGAGATCAACATTTTAACAGGTTAGGTTTCTTATTTATTATACTATAAATAAAATGTAAAATGACACTTTTTGTATTTTCAGTATCAGCCGTTTTTAAATATGTATGAATTATTAAATTTTATTACAGGAGGATTATTCATTCCTGTAATCCTTGAAAAACCAATTAAACAAAGCAGAAAAGTGAAATTTGAAGAGATCCAGCCCTTTATAAACAAACTAGGACTTAGGACGTCAATATATGAATAAACAGATGTTGAAGTGGCTTCGAAAATGCAGTATTAAGTTTGAATCATTCATGGAGACAAAACTAGATGAGAGGAACAAGATTCTATCAGATTTTTATGCTGTCAAGACATTCATGCTGAAGAGAAGACAAGTACAAAAGTAGTTGCAAGAGATCTTGCTTATGTTGAAGACCTTACAGAGTTATTTTTATTTGATATCAGAGGTCAAAATTATCACTGTACCTTTGTCAGAGTTGGAACTAATTTAGGTAACCAAAGTTAAAAATGAAGGACATAAATATAAGTTAAACATTCTTGTAATCTAGTATTTAGTAAAATAATCCCTAAATAGCATGTTTAATTTAGGTAAAGGTTCATTGAAAGTAATCTGCAACATATTTGACCCTGAACAAAAGAGAGAGGATGACATGGGGGACAAAGGAACATACTCTGGGATCAATGGGGCTGTCGTTCTTGCATATGCAGATAACTTACAAGAGACCCATGACAACATTTTGCAGACTGTCGAGAGCCTAAATCTGCATAAATGCAAATATTCTCTTGCACCAGACATAAAACACATCAACATATTGTTGGGAATTTTAGTATTATATATTATTATCCAAATTTATACTTTTTACATTACTTGAACACATACACATGTACTTCTTGATAAAATGTAATTCAGGAGCCTTATATAAATTATTTTAGGCTCATGGAGGAAAATATTCCTGTGCCTAGTGTGAAGGTACATCAACTATTGCTACTGGAGATCTCAGAATTTTGAGAACTTTAGATGGTTTATACTGTATTACGAAGCTGGATTGCCACACAAAAGAATGCTGGACTTCAAGGTGATTTTAATGAACATACATTGAAGATCTTTATAAAGTTTTGCCTTAAAGAAAATTATACATTTTATCAGATTTTAATAAATATTATTTTTTATATAGAATGTTATGAAGCTATGCTTGATCAAGGAAGAAGACAAATCTATATGGTGTTAGATGTTATACTTTAGCCAGTACTTCACATGCTGATGGGCCTTGTAAATCATATGTCATCATTTCTAACCATATTGTGGCCAGAGTTTTAGATGTGGGTTTCAAGCTTAGGAAGTATAAGAAAAGGGTATAATGGTAAAACTTATGAAGGAAATACTTCAAAACAGATACTAAAACAGTGCGATGAGCTGGAAAATCTGTTACCAGTAGAGCTACAACCTCTATTGAAAACCTTGCGAAAGTTCTATACTTTTCTTAAAGAGATATTATAACAATAAACAGCATTATTTAAAATTACTTGCTTGATATTTTATTATAGTATCTTGAAAAGGATTTGACTTAAAAACTTTGAAAAGGATTTGACTTTCACTTAGAAAGTACATGCTATTACAGCACACTTAGGAGACTTTATCTCCAGATCAGGCCATTCTCTTGGAAGATATGCAGATCAGGTTTCTGAAGCAGCTCATGCTAAAATGTCATCAACAGGTTCAATATTTACCAAATAAGCAAAAAACTTCTGACAACAAGCAAGAGCATTGCAGAGATGTTTAATATTGCAAATCTGTTATCAAAGAACCTAATCAAAGTTATATATTAATAAAAAAAATTTTGTCATTGACTTTTTAACTAAAATTTTGTAGTGTTGTAATATGTAATATAAAAACTAATAAATATTGTACTATCAACTATACTTTTGATTTAAATACTAATTAAAGAAATAAAACCGTAAATTTTTAAATTAAATTTTCATTAGATTTTTTTAAAGTTTGATCCTTAAAATATATATTAGTAATCTAAATCTATATATATATATATATATATATATATATATATATATATATATATATATATATATATATATATATATATATATATATATATATATACATGTATATATACACATATATATATATATGTAATAATATATATATATATATATATATATATATATATATATATATATATATATATATATATATATATATATATATATATATAAACGTTATATTATCAACCATACTTTTTTTACACACATACCAGTTTATTCCAGTTTGTACTATCACTTATGCTCACTTTCTAAACTTAAATATGTAAATATATATATATATATATATATATATATATATATATATATATATATATATATATATATGTATACACACATATATATATGTAATAACATATATATATATATATATATATATATATATATATATATATATATATATATATATATATATATATATATATATATATATGTATACACACATATATATATGTAATAACATATATATATATATATATATATATATATATATATATATATATATATATATATATATATATATATATGTATACACACATATATATATGTAATAATATATATATATATATATATATATATATATATATATATATATATATATATATATATATATATATATATATATATATATATATATATATGTTGTATTATCAACCATACTTTAGATTTAAATACTAAATAAAGAAGTAAAAATAATTAAAAATCCTAAAAGGTATAATAAATTTTTTTTTATTTTAAAACAAAATTTTCTCAAAAAGGGCTACTCATTAGATTTTTTAAAGTTAGATCTTTAAAACATATGGTATTAGTAACTTAAATCCATTGAAACTTCCAGGGTCATATCATTTTATACCTAAAACCTATATTTGTGAACTGTGTATAAATGCATTAAAGTGCCACTAAAAACAATTTTTTTTGAAATTGTCTGCTGCCACCGCCTAAATATGTTATATGTAATAAAGTAACACTAAATTAAAAAAAATTTTAAATAAAAAAAAATTTTAGAGGTTGCTCAAGACCCTTAAACATCAAATGAGTCCCTAATATTTTGAAAAAAAAAGTTCTTCAAAAGTTTATCATGTTGGGTCTCAAAAGAAGTGAAATTTTATAAAAGTTTCAAAAATAATAATCATTTTATATAAATATTACTAGTTTAAATTTTATGGCCTAAGAACTTTAATTTTTTGACAAAAAATTAAAAGGAAATATTTTCAAAGTTTTTTTTTTAATAAACATTTTTAGTTTGTGTTTCTATAAATTGTTTTTATTATTTTTGAAATTTTCATAAAATTTCACTTCTTTTGAGACCCAACATGATATATTTTTGAAGAACCTTTTTTTTCAAAATATTAGGGAGCCGTTAGATGTTTAAGGGTGTTGAGCGACCCCTAAAATATTTTTTTATTCAAAAAATTTTTTAATTTAGTGTTAATTTATTACATAGAACACATTTAGGGGGTGACAGCAGACAATTTCAAAAAAAGTTGTTTTTAGTGGCACTCTTAAGTGTATTATCAATTAACATTAACAAAAGTACAATACTTTAATCAACTTCTAAAGTGTTTACGATTAAGCAAACTTTAAAGACTAGCATTTTATAATGATATTTGTGGTCACACACAATAATTTTTTGGTGATGTTCGTGGTCCAAAAAGTACACATGATAGTTTTGAAATTAGCTTCACTTAATGAATAATATAAGTTTATTGACCAGGTTATTTTTGTAAAGGTTCTGATCATGTTATTTTGTGTCAGCAATTTTGTAAAACACAATGAAACTTTTACCCAGAAATATAAAAATTAGCAATTGCAATTGCTTCAAATAGTAAACTTCCATGATTGCTAAATCACTTTAGTAAGATTGGTGGAATACATTTGAGTGGATTACACTTGTTTTAACTCAAGGTCTTGCTCCCAAATATCTTAGCCGTACCTTCACACATACTTTTAACTTCACAGTTTCTTCTGTATTTACATCTAATTTTGCAGTTTTTTTTTTTTTTTTTTTTTTTTTTTTTTTATAGCTTTAAAGCGAATATTTATTTGCTATGGTTTTTTATAGTTTCATGGAAGAATATGCTGTTTATAATGTTGAAGCTGTAGAGAATGTAATTGAATTTTGCGAAATCATTAAAGTTACAAGTTATGAGTAGGTTTTGTTTTTTATAGATCCATTATTTAAATCATGATTGAAAAAATGTTTTATTACAGTCATTTTTTATTATATTTACTACTATTTTTATTATATTTATTACTGTTCTTATTTTTAGGTCTAGTTGTAAATTAATGAAAATGCTAACTGAGAGGTTTTTGAAAATTGATGCAAATTACACTGAAGAAATTCTATATTATTACTTAATATTGTTTGAAAAAATGGTTCTTCTTAAAGAAATTAGTCCATTGGTATATTTCAATATTTTTTATGGTATAAACATATATTAAACATTTTTATGGTATAAACATATATTATACTTTTTTGAGTTTGTGGAGGAAATTAAATAAAACTTCATTCCCTCCACAAATTCAAAATAAAATGGTCTACCCTGTCATTATTCAACCATATGTAAAGTCATCAACAGATTTTAATGACTCAAGTTAATGTTCTGGACTCCTGATTCTGGGGTAGGATAGCCATATGGGGACAGATCTCATTGATGACTTTTTTAAAATATGTAAAGAACATATTTATTTATACTCGTATTTGTTTTATTTGAACTTTTAACTTGAGTTAATGAAATTGGTCTGAGAAATTAAAAGGCATTCAACAACGCTGTAGCTAATCACTACTTTAAGTCAGAACCAACCGCTTTTCAAGTCATAAAAATTGATGTCAAGAAACTTAAAAACTTGCAAATTGTATGCATCAGAAAAAGTAAAGATTACAGAAAGTTTAAACAAATGTTTTCAGTGTTTAAGTGTTTTAATTGTTTAAGGAAAAAAGCTAAATGAATAATTGTTTTTTGAACATAAAAGAACAGTTAGAGTAAAAAGAAGTTTGCTTTTGGTAGCACAAATTGTTCATATTAAGGTAATGGATTCTCCACCACCTCTCTCTTCTAAGCTCTTAACTTTAATTCACATACCCAATAAAAGCTTGAATAACAATTAATTTAAAACAAAATTTTAAAAGTCATATATTGACAAAACCCATTTATCCCAGTCTTCCTCTAGAATTTTTAATGGTTATGTTATTTAGTAGTTTATATGTTATTAGTAATATATTAATTAATTTATATCGAGTATATTAAATAATTTCTTCTGTTATTTTTATATTTTTTTAAGGCAATACTTAAAAAACTTTCAGAGTTAAGTTTAGTGTTTAACAGATGCAAATGGGATATTGGCAACATGTTTTTGACTATATGTTCAAATATTTTGATTACTCATTCTCAACCACATATTATTTATGGTATACTTTTTTAGTTTGCTTTTTTAGTTTTTAGTTTGTTAAATATTAAAGAGAAAAATTAAAACTTGTTGGTGCTGTTTTAGCTTAATTTATTTTTATTGTTTTAATTCTTTCAAACTTTTTATTAAGATTATATCCTAATATATATATATATATATATATATATATATATATATATATATATATATATATATATATATATATATATATATATATATATATATATATATATATATAGAATTGATTTTTTTGACAAGATTAAATAAAAAATAACTACATAATTTTTACTACTAAATGTTTCATGCGTTTAGCAATTATCAGGTAAAAATACATTGTTTTTTCGTTACTATACTATATAATAACATCGTGACGTTCAAAAACAATTATAAAATGAAACACCATCAGAGTCATGAAAACAAGTTCTTGCTTGACAACCATGAGCCTAAAGATTAAAAAACCCAACCGTAATATTTTATAATTGTTTTTGAACGTCACGATATTATTATATAGTTTATTTTTTAATGAAAAAACAAAGTATTTTTAACTGATGATTGCTAAATGCATGAAACTTTTAGTAGTAAAAATTATGTTGTTATTTTTTATTTAATCTTTTCAAAAAAATCAATTACATAGCTCTGATATCATTCATTGAGCACTCTTGCTAAATATATGCTCACAGCAAAATTAAACTTATACATATATATATATATATATATATCAAGCCTTCCCAGGAAAGGCGTGCGATTTTTTTTCTTGTACGACCATGAAAACGTTTTTCAAGTTAGAAAACGTTATCACGACCGTTTGCGCAAGTTATATTATATGCGTTACTGAAAAATTGTTTTAAATTTAATAACTGCATAAGAAATTAAAGTAAACTTAAATAGAAAACAATAATAATAGTTTAAATAATTTGTGTGTTGTTTTTATTTTGGTTTTTTTTAGTGGTTATTACTATCGGCAACAAAATTCATTAAGTCAAAGCAAAAAAAAAATAATAATAATAATGGTTTTAGGCGTTAAAAAGGATGACTTTCCCATATTTTATGTGTCTTTTTTTTTAAATAGGAAAGAGAAAATATGTATCGTCATCTGTTTGTAAAATATATTTGTATAATTATGATATAACAAGTTTATATCAAGAGTTAAATTATATAATCGCCTTTGCAAACTCTGGTAAAATATTAGGTCTTGAAAATTTTAGTTCATGCAAAGTTGTGTACTTTGTTTATAAGGAGCAAATTATTAAAAGTTTGCTAGCAAGAAAGTTACAAAAAACAAAACAAAAACAATAAACTTACGACTACAAAAGTAATAACACTTTAGTTATTAACTGCATTATAAAAGTAATAAAACTATAATAGTGTTATTACATTTATAAAGCACTTATTACTTTTAAAGTTCATTCATTGTTCAAAATTTTAGTTCATGCAAAGCTGTGTACTTTGTTTATAAGGAGCAAATTATTAAAAGTTTGCTAGCGAGATAGTTACAAAAAACAAAACAAAAATAATAAACTTATGACTACAAAAGTAATAACACTTTAGTCACTAACTGCATTATAAAAGTAATTAAACTATTATAGTGTTATTACATTTATAAAGCACTTATTACTTTTAAATTTTATTCTTTGTTCAAACAACATTATTAATTCCAAACATTTATTAAAGTAGAAAAGCATCTAGAAAAAATAAAGCGGGTATTCAAATATTATTAAAAATTTCAGGAACTTTCACATATCACTTAAAAAACGTTATAAAAAAGTACTTTATGAAAAGTATAGCATTATGAAAAACGTTATGTAAAATCGCGCGTTAATTTTAAAATCAACCAATGAAAAATTTTTATTGGTTAATTTTAGAATTAACGCGCGTTTTTACGGTCCATTAGTAACGTTTTTTATAATGCTAAACTTTTAATACGATACATTTTCATAAAGTTGTTGATTTTATAAGTTACGATTTTATATGTTACTTTAGTTTTAATATTATTTGAACATCCACTTTATTCTTCTAGATATTTTTCTACTTCAATTAAAATTTGAGAATACTAATGTTGCTTGAACAAAGAATGAATTTCAAAAGTTATAAGTGCGTTATAAAAGTAATAACACTATTATAGTGTTATTACTTTTGAAATGCAGTTAGTGACTAGAGTGTTATTACTTTTGTAATTGTTAGTTTATTGTTTTATTTTTTATTTTTTCGCTAACAAATTTAAGTTGATTCTTCCTTTAAAAATAAGAAACACGGTTTTGAATAAACTAAAATTTTGAATACTAGATATTTTTCCAGATTTTGCGATTTGCATTCACTTAATTTAACCCTTGTTACATTAAAATTATACAAATAACTTTTACAAACACATTGTGATTTGTATTTTTGCTATCCTCTTGAAAAAAAATTAAGAAAAGGAAAATCATTCTTTTTATTCTAGATTTTAAACTGTTTTTTTTTTTTTGCTTCGCCTTATCTAATTTTGTTGCTGAATGTAACTCTAAAGAAACAAAAAAAAAAATTTATATATATATATATATATACAGTATTGGGCAAAACAAGTACAACCAAATAACACTAATTTAGTTTCTTTATATAAAAGTGCTGCATTTTTTCAATTTAGAGAAATAACTATGTAACTGTTTAGAGACAACGTTCTTCAAGTTTTATTCATCACAAAGTTCATTATTTGTACACGAAAATTAATAAATTAATCAAAAGTATTAAAAAAGTTGATTTCTTTCTGGACAAAACAAGTGCAACTCCACAAAATGTTGACTAAGCTGTATTTTGCTATCAATATTTTGTGGCGAATCCTTTGTTGTTAATCACAGCCTTTTATCTTCAAGATATAGATTCGATCAGGTGATCAATGAAACTTTGTGGAATCACTGCCCAGGTCTTTTGTATTTGTTCAAACAGTTGATCCTTGTTACGAACACCTTCACGATTAATTCTGTGGTTGACGATCTCCCACAGGTTCTTGATAGGGTTGAAATCCGGAGATTGAGGCGGCCAATCCATCACCGATAGGTGGTTGTCTTAAAACCATTGCTTGACTACTTTTGCAGTGTGTTTCGGATTGTTGTCTTGCTGAAAAACCCATTTTATTGACATATTCCGCTCAGCATGAGGTAACATAACATCTTTCAGGATATTTTTATACATGAAATGGTCCATTATTCTTTCAATTTTATGTATTGGACCTAGACCGTTAGCAGAAAAACACCCTCAGACCATTACATTGCCTCCACCATGCTTCACGGTCTCATGGCAGTAACGTAAATCGAGGCGTTTCCGGCCAGTCGACGTACATGGCAAATGCCATCACTCCCAATGATGTTGAATTTCGATTCATCACTGAACAGGACAGTTCGCCATTTCTGCACATTCCAGTCAATATGAGATGTAACAAACAGGAGTCTTTTCTTCTGGTTCTTTAGTGAAATCAGCAGTTTCTTTGCATGGCGTCGAGAAAACAATCCGGCTTATATATATATATATATATATATATATATATATATATATATATATATATATATATATATATTTATATTTATATATATATTTATATATATATATATATATATATTTATATATATATTTAAATATATATATATATATATATATATATATATATATATATATACATATATATATATATATATATATACATATATATATATATATATATATATATATATATATATATATATATATATATATATATATATATATATATATATATATATATATATATATATATATATATATATATATATATATAATATATATATATACACACACACACACACAAATGGCTCTCTCAAAGGTTCACACACACAAATGGCTCTCTCTTATTTTTTCATAAACATAAACTTTAATAATCTTTTTTTCTTTGATTTTGGATAAATTGATTAGAAATTTTTTTTTTTTTTTTTTTTTTTTTTATGCATAACAGTCAATGCCTTTATAGCATTAATGATTAATATGATTAATTATAATGCCAATATGATTAATTCCACAAAGTTGTTTATAAAAGAAAACTATTATCATTGTAACTAAGATAAAAAAATGCTAAGTCATTTTAAAAGTAAATCAATTATTGCATAATAAAATGCAATGCTTTTTTTAAAGGTATGGTTATTGCATAATAAACTGCAATGCTTTTTTTAAAGGTATGGTTATTGCATAATAAACTGCAATGCTTTTTTTAAAGGTATGGTTATTGCAACAACAAAAAAAAGTTAAAACTAACTAAATGAATAATTTTTTAAAAAATCAGTTTCATTTGTAACTTTTATAACTATTTGTTTGTCAAATTTTATATCAAATAAATTGAGTTGTTAATAAATGGATAGCTAGTGTGAAAACTCAAGAAAAAAAAAAAAACTCTTGCTTAGTTGTCCATACATAAATTGTCAAGTTAATGTTTTTAAAAAAAAAGTTATTTAGAAAAAAAGAAAAAGTTTCAAAATTAAAAAACATTTTTTTTAGTTAATAGACTGCCTGCCCAAACCAAACCCTCAGTCTATCTAGCAACACCCCTTGCATGTTCTACCTATTTGTCAGTCAATGTAACAACACTGCTTGCATTTTCTACCTAATTGTCAGTTGATGTTGTAACACTCCTTGGGTGTAGTAATGGGGTAGTGGCTTCATAAGTGAAAGATTCTGAGTTTGATCCTCACCAAGTTTGTCAACGTTTGTGTTTCAGAGTTTGTAATGGACTTCTCAGCCTTAATCGGAGGTGAATTAAGATTAAAAAATAAAATTTTAATAATGTTCTACCTATTTGTCAGTTGATGTAAATAAACAGTAAAAAAATTAAAAATACGCACATTCAGAATGTTTTTTTGTTTTTGTTTTTTTAATAAAAATATTCAAAATGCTTTTAAAAATATTCTAGTCATTAATTTGCAGTTCTTTTAAAAAAGATTACTTAATTTTGTACTTAATTTTGTCTTGTTATACGTCAAAGAGTAGTTTAGAGCCCCCCCCCCTTTTTTTTTTTACCACAAATGATAATTTTAAAAGTCAAACTTTAGAAATATATATATATATATATATATATATATATATATATATATATATATATATATATATATATATATATATACATATATATATATATATATACATATATATATATATATATATATATATATATATATATATATATATATATATATATATATATATTTTATATATATATATATAGATAAATGTAATTACATAAATACATTATAGGAGTAAGTATAATATACTTATTATGGCTGTCCATAGGCCCATAAGTATAAATAATAAATATATTATGTTTATTACTTCTATATATAAGTTATTATATACACAGTTATAATAATTTAATGTAGTTGTAAGTTTAACTTATTTTAGTAATTAACTATACTATGTTTTATTTTTTTAGAAGTTGCATCTTTGTTGTGGGACATATACAATGGTTTTAAAAATAAACGTATCTTTTTAATTTTTTTTACACATAATTTTATATTTATATATACATATATATATATATATATATATATATATATATATATATATATATATATATATATATATATATATATATATATATATATATATATATATATATATATATGTATAAATTATATTAGAATTATAATAAAATAAAATTTGAAACATAACTCAGTGTTTCACACTTTATGCAAGCTTGTTCGGGAAGCGGGAGCGATCGCTCTTGATTGCTGACCACATAAATAGTATTTAGTTGCAAAAAGCTGGCCAGATTTTTTAGAAAAAAGATTAATTGGACCGATGAGAGACAATTACAAAAAAAAAAAAACTTAAAGCTAAATAAATTACATTTAGTAAAAATATTTTCGAAATATCGCTCTTTTATAATTTTTTTTATAAAACTAAGCGATGTTTTTTATATAAAGTAACAACTTACGATTGTTTAAAAGGGAAACAAATATTCTTTATTTAACTAAGTTTGCAAGTTTTAGTTTTACTTAAGCTAAATTATTTTATAAATAAAAAAGTTAATTTTTTTAATACCTATTTTATGTTTCTCGTAATTTGAAAAGTTTAACATATTTGAAGCGATTCTTCTTAGTAAGATAAACAAATGAAATAATTAAATCATTGAATTACTATAGGAAGTAAATTATTAAGATAGAAATCAACTGAAAAGGTTAAAAATATATAATGACCAGGAAACGAAACTGCTTCACAATATCGCTGATGATGTTTAGTGAGTGGGCTTTTTAATTTTAATTAGTATTTAAAGCAGAAAAAAGTACAACGAGTTTTAAGAATGGCAACTTAAGCGAAAATAATTAAAGTTAGTAAACCAATATCTAGAAACTTTTCTTTATATCTAATTATTTGCTATATATATTTGTGTTCTGTCGTGACCTCAGGCGCGATGCTTGTTCATCCGCAAGTTACTTTGTATGCGTTGTTTGTGTTTAGTAACCAGAAACTTCTTATATTTTTGTTACATAATTAGTTTTATTAACTTTAACAATTATAACTTCATTGAAAACGCGATTATTTTTGTAAGTCTTTGTTTAAATCATAAAAATTGCTTTAAAAGATACACTACGATAAAAAAAAAATACACAAAATTACATTTACATAAAGAATACAATCTCTTTTAAAATAAAAAATAAGAATATACTAATAAAATCTATGATTTATGATAAATTTTTAAAATTTTAACAATTTAATTAATATATATTTAAAACATTTATTTTCGTAATTAAATAATATATATTCTTAAAACAATGCTAGAAATCTCAAAACGTAACAAATCGTGAATAATACAACTTCTAAAACATTTTAACAGAATACTCTAGAACTTTATTTTGCTTAATCATTGTATTTTTTGAACCAATAGAATTAGTTTGTTTGTTAATTTGGCGGGTTTTTAGTGTTCGCAAATATTCTTTTTATTCTTTCGCACAAAGATGTTTTGGGAACATTCAAGTTTTTTATATTTCCATGTATGTCCCTAAAACAAAAATTTTTTGTTTCATACAAAACTTAAATGTTCTCAAAACGACTAAAAAAACCTGGCCAGTTTTACGCAACTAAATTTAATTTCCGTGGTCAGTATTCAAGAGCGATCGCTCCCGCTTCCCGACCAAGCCTGTTTATGCAATCATCAAACGTTACAAACAACCATAAAAAAATATATATATATATATATACAAAATTGCAATACAGTGTTAGCTTGGATGGCGTTAAAGTTGCAGTTGTTTTCCTGGTGGAATTTTGATAATAACTCACTTCATTTATTTAATAGTTTTAAAGATGATGTAATGATATGGTATTTTTCAGTTAAACAAAGGTTTCATTACTTTCCTCCAGGTTTAAATGGTTCTGCCCTATTGGTAATCTTCTACGCAAGAATAGAATTAGAAAATCCCATTATTATGTATGTATGTATATTATGTATGTATATGTATATATATATTACATGCCAGTATATAAATAAATAGGAAATTTATACATAAATATATAGTATATTATTATATTTAGACCTTGCTAACAACCCCAGCTAAAATTATTATTTAGTCAGGGCTGAAATAAGTTTCAGACTTGCTTAAATAAAGGCCTTGGTCCTTTACTATCGTCTAATAGAGAAAGTGTATAATTCAGACAGCTGACAAATCAACTTGATAAAAATTTGAAGATGCAACTTCAATATGTCAATATGTCAACATTATTTCACACATGGTCGAATAACAGGATTTTAGAGGTAATGAATAGAATCTCAAAATAATGAGCACAAAAAAGATCGGCACAAAAAATATAGGCTGTGAGAGGTAGTCTCAACAATATTTACAATTGATTTGATATGTTTTGATATAATTTCCAGAAGAGTTCAGTAGTAAAAATTGGTTCTCCTATCCTTTTATTATAACATATAATAAAAGGATGTAATAATAGGATTATATCCTATTATTATAACATATCCTATCCTTTTATTATAACATATAATAATAGCATGTAATAATATTATTAGTATATAATAATAGGATGCTTCTGATATTAATTTAATTGCTTGCTCTGCACTCTGCTAGAGGTAGTTATGAATTTTATTGGCCTAACATTATTGTCTGTTATTTAAATTTAAGTTATTTAAGTTTGTCAGGAGTTACTAGCCTAATGATATTTTTTTATTTTTTTAAATAAAACAATATTTTTTGAAAAATGTCTTGTTTAAGGTTTTTTTACAGGGTCTGTAAAGGAAAAATTAACTTGTGCCAGTGATTAGAATTTTTCTTTGTTTTATTTCAGAAATTTTTCTCAAGTTGATTTGTCAGTTGTCTGTATTATATTCTGTAAACACATGGTTATCACTATTTTATGAATTTTAACAAAACCACCTGAGTATATGGTTTTTTTTTTTTTAAAAAGTTATTAAGTTTTATGCTACAGCAAGTTTTAATATAAAGTAAGTTTTATTTCTTATACTAATGTGTATAAGAAATAAAACTTATGTGTTATTATATTTCTTTACTTATGTGTATCCAGAGTGTTTACAAAAATGTGAAGTTAAAGAACAAAAACAAAACTTTATTGAATTGAGAATAATCAAATTCTGCAAACCCAAGCTAAGCTACCAAGCTACAAAAAATTTTTAATTTTTGTCTCCACAAAAATTTTGAAATTTTATTGTATAATGAAAAAACCTACTAAAATAATAGTTTAAAATAATTATCAAAGGAGAGACATTTGAAGAATGTCCTGCTTCCCTTATTTGACAATTAAAATGGCTGATAATCTTTTTTGCTTTTTTAATATTTTAAATATTTTAAACTAAACTTTTAGTTTCATTTATAGTCAGATATTTTATTACAAGTATTTCTTTTTATTATTTTTTTAGTTGATTCAGTTAATTAAATTAGTGACCAACTTTATTAAAACAATTAATTATGCAGTTCTTTTTCAAAAACGTTGACAAAAAAAAATGATAAAGAGGAGCTAATTATAAAAAAAAGAAAGAACAATTACAAACTTATATGTTT